TTAAATTATCCCACCATCCTGGTTTGGTCTGCATAGTTTCCGCTCGGTAGTATTTCATGCTAGTTCAAGGCTGGTTGTTGTGATCCGCCACAGGTTTTCATCAAAGTTAGTTAGATAAACATAGTATCAAAATGAGTTAATTTAAAGACAAACATATAAAAGTTTCGGTTGTTTTTTCTTTTGCGTTTTTTCAGTTTTTGCGCGCTTCAGTGACTTTTTATATCGCAAGTGGTGAAAAACTCAGCTTCGCCTCTCTGTGCAAATTGTGATTACTTTATCTAACTGAAATAGCAGTCTTTAAACCTTGTCTTTTTCCTTAACCATAGAAAAATTATTTACAAGTGCGCAGGAATGTATTTTTAAAATTGTATTAGGAAAACAGTCTCAAAAATTATAAATTGAAATCAATAAAAGACATGAATTGAGTGGAATTTCCACACAGCTGAATTAGTAATTTCGCGTGATTGATGACAAAGTACGCTTTTTCAGAGTGCTTATGAATCGGATATGTGTTGTAATCATTATATTGCGTCTGCAGTTGTAAGTAATTTGTTATTCAGCTGGACTATAATTGAGTTTAGTGCCGTGGTTTCATCTCATGGGTGTCTGAAAAAATAGTGGAGTAGTCATGACACAATAGGTATCTGTCTCCCAACGGTATTGTTCTTGAAAAAACCTGGATTGTGTCGCTTCTCCGTTCTCAACATGAGGCAGCAAACTTTCTTCATCGTACAAATTTTAAATTCATGAGTCGATGAAATATTTGTTCTCGCTAGAATTCACTTTTTCGCGGTTTCACTTTTAGGTTCAGGTAATTTCCCTTGTTATAAGGAAAGGAAACTCCACTATCGATCAGCGAAAGTGTAAAGGTCACGAAAAGTGAGATCGACTTCTAATTTCGATGGATATTTCAATTGAAATTAATTAACAGATTTCCCAATTTCCCAGCGAAATCGAAGTTTTTAACGATTGATCCAGTGTCCTCGAATTGTTCTCCAAATTCAAAGAGTTTTAAGGCTATCTATTTCTCGAATTTCAAAAATTGACTGTTTTTCAGAAAACAGGTCAGTTTTTTTTCAGTTTCCTTGCGTTCAGTACTTTTTTTCAACTATCAGTGGGCTATGTTTTTTAGATGTTTTTTAAGATTCGATGAACGTAGTTCAGTCACTTATATAGGTTGCGATGATTTTTTATTTTTTTTTGCAGGCTCAAACGTACTTTTCTGCGTTTTTGCTTGACTTCTTTTGAGTTCAGTTGATTTCCGTTGTTATGAGGAAGGCAAACTCGACTATCGAACAGGGAAAGTGTAAAGGCCACGAAAAACGTGATCGACTTCTAATTTCGAAAATGGAATTTAATTACCAGATATCACAGCAAATTGAAAAATATTTTTGCCCGCCCAGTTTTCTCGAATTGGGTTAATTTTATCAAAATTTTACAAATTCAAAGAGCTTCAAGGCCATCTATTTTTTTGAAAATCGAAAGGTGAGATTTTTCAAAAAAGTATGTCCATATTATTTTTCTGTTTACTTTAATTGACTATTTTCCAACTGTCTGTTGGCTATGTTTATTTTATAGCAATCAAAATTTCTAGCAAGATTATTTCACTATGTAGCTCCAGAAATTAAGTGGCAAAATAGCTCTGACTGGAACCAGCGACCTGAGCTCCATCGGCTTTAAGCGCTTTTTTTGGTTTCCGTTTTCAGGCTCGTTTCCTTATTTCCTTGTGATTTTGAAGTTTTCTTGTTTTGCTTTTCTGAAGGGTAGTTTTGCCTGTTGTTTTTAACTCATCGTATTTCAGCTCTACCCGTACAGTTAAATTAAATAATAGTAACCTTTGTTGTTTATTTCATGCAAATAAGCATCTTGTTGACGTTGTTGTACAATCCTCCATGTGAAATGATTTTCTAATCCTTACTACGTCAACTATCATCTTCGGTCTTGCTATGCGTTGTTCTCTGCCTTCGTTCGCACTTTCAACCAGCGAGCTTTTGAGCGTAGTGTTATATTACGGTTTAATTTTTTCCAACCCAACTCCCGTGTATTTGTGCTCGTGTTTGGTAGCCTTTCTGCTGTATGCGTAGCATAGCAAATTAATAGCATCTGTTTTATCTCTCCGCTTTTTTGGTGGCTAGTTTTAGAAAAATCACTAACCTGTGGCTGAATGCTGTTAGACTTTTTCCACTTTTCTTATTCTGTTTTTCCAAGCATCTGGCTGTTTATTGAGCGTATTTTTAAAAATTTTTATAGACTTTTTTCTTCTAATTTTTAATGTTTTACATAGACGTTTTTTTTAAATCGAGCGTCCACCACTTCCTTTAGGTAGTTTTTAAAATTTTCATATTCACAGAAAATGTCACGATCATGTTGACATTGTTTCTGGAAATTCTCACATTTGTCTCAAATGGAAGGACTTCATTGTTCCAAACGGTTTTCAGTTCAGCATATCTTGTTTTACAACCTTAATTTGTCCAATAAAGTTGGAATTTTATGCAACACGCTGCGCTCAATTTCTAGACAGCAGACAATTGTTCTAGTTTCCTTTAGTCTGAAAAATAGTATGCTGCTTGAAGTACCGGCTCTAGAATTGCTCGGAGTCTGGTCATGAAGTTTTGACATGTATGGTGTCCAAACTAGAGTACGTAATTGTTCAGTCCATTTTTGACGTGATTGACTTCACATAAAAATGCTGAAGTTTAGCTGGTTCATTTTCCGTGTATGCTTTAGTTTACAATCTATGATTGATGGAAGTCTAAATGAAAGAAAATATATATTTTTTTCTCCGAATCAAGTCCACTGACAACCTACAGAGTTTTCACCTATTAATCTAGGACATGTGATTTAGTTCAATCGTCATGAATATGAGTGATATCATTTCGTGTGTTGGTTGCTGCTCGGACCATGTTTTTGAAAGTGGCTGAAAGGAATTATCGCTTAGGTTGTTTTTCAGGCCCAATTTTAGGTACTCAAAGGAAGCTAGTAGGAGTTGAACTGTCGTTACTTTAAATAATCCATTGGTCGTGATTAAGATACCAATAAATTTTGGTTAAATTTTGGATACCAATAAAATTTGGTCTAATTTGCACTTAACGATGTGTGGGAGGTGTGAATTTTTCATTTAATTCTTCCGCTTGTTAACTTCAATTGATCTTAATTCACCTCATGCTTATTACGCTTGTGATTTGAAAGCGTTATCAAATCGGAATATAGACTTTTTAAAGCTAAATCAAAAAAGTAAACATCTTCTTTTAAAAAATTACTTGATAGCTTGAATTATATTGATCTCATTTTTCGTGGCATCTCTGACCTGCTTGGCCTGGATCCTAGGTTTGCGTCCGGTCAGTTTGTTAAATTTTCTATTTTTTTTTTAATTTTTTTTTGTTTGGCTTAAATTACAGTGCAAAGAGATTTCAAGTGAGTGCAAAGATTTAAGTGGATATCGGCCCGATTTTTGCTCCTCAGTTTGAGTTTTAGAATGTATTTAAGCTCTCAGAGTTCCCGGCGAAATAAATAGATGTATAATTATTTCATTTATATACTCATTTCAATAGGTAAAACAAAGTCAAACATTTAATTTAGAAAATAAGGATTTTTTTGACGAACGATTAATAAACTCAAAATTAACGATTTTGCCATTAAAATTTCATTAAGAACAGGGGCGGATCTAGGATTTTCTCGAGGGGGACTTTCGCAATTGTTTCTAAAATTTTGTCAAGCTTTGTTTTTAATTCGACCAAATAGATTTTTCGAGCGCTCCCAGAACAATGAACCAATGAAAACCGTACTTTGAGCAAAATCTTAGTACCACAGGGAAAATTTTGGAAAATTGTTTTTGGGAACTTGCTTCCGCTCAAAATTAGTATATATTGGCGCTTTAAGAAAAATTTTAGTTCAGCCAAAAATGAATGTCTTAAAGTAATACCAAAGGGCGTCCGCAATCCCCCATCCGCTCAATCCTAAATCCGCCACTGATTAACTATGTAATGAAGTGTATAAAAGGGTGGAAGCCCCCCATGGATTCGAACCCCTGCCGACCCAAAGGGTCATCCCTTGGGTACTGTTTTAAGATATCCATTTTGGCTGACTTACCCTAAAACCTTTCTTAAGGCGCCGTGCGCCAAAATATTCCGAATATGAGGGGAAACCGCGCGCCAAAAAACGCAATTGTTTTGTCATAAATTTCTGAAAAGTGCCCAAAAACGCCTTTTTTGGCTCATTTCAAAATTTTTTGGGCTGAACATTTGGTCTCAATAGTTTTTATATTGATTGTAGAGAGCTCAGAAAATGAACATGGTTGACCTAAAAAAAGTGTAAACGTTTCGAAAGTGGAATTTAATTATCAAAATTCCCAGATTAATTTGAATTTTACCTGTTGATCCAGTTTATCAAATTGGGTTATTTTTTATCAAAAAAGCCGATCATAAATTGTTCTAGAAGTTCAAAGAGCTTCAAGTGTATCTATTTTTTTCTTCAAATTCCATTGACTTTTTTCCAACTGTCTGTTGGCTGTTAATAGTTTTTACCAGGCTGGCAACTTAGTTAACAAAATTAGTTGAATCGCTTGATAAATTGCCTTATAATAAATTCAAAATTCTTAGCTTGGTTGCCACAATTGGTGTTGAGGTTTCAACTACGCCTGAGTTACTCGTTTACGCCAATAACTATAGTATATGAATTATATCAGCATAAATGCAATCAGAGACGCATGGAATTAGACATAATGTTTCCAATGACGATATCCCAGACTGGATTTTTTTAAGATGGCGATTTATATAAATCAAGATGAATTTGCATCTTGACTGGAAACAATTTAATTTGATTTTATAAATTAGAAAGTATTGTTCACAGGAGTACTTACTCGCTTTTTCAAAGCTTAACATCATCGATTTTGTCTATAATTTGGCACTAATGATATAATGAAGTGTATGAGTATTAGGCATTGATTTATGAAGGATAAAGCATTAATTCGAAAACTGTTCAAATAATTTATGCTTTTCAAGTCACAGCAACAGTACTACCAAGGAGGAGCCTCAGACTATTCCTCTCAAGTGTCAGCCGCAGCTGCGATGGGAGACTACTCGGCACAACTGGCGGCAGCAGCCTACGCATTCGACCCCAACTCATGGTACAGTCCAGCTGTTCAGGCTGCCAGTGCTTACAACATGTACTACCAGAATCCGGCTTGGGCAGCTGCCGCAATGCAACAACAGGGTAGGTCAAATCTTAGAAAGTTACTAACTAAATTGAATAAATTTAAAGTGTAAATGAACGTTGAACACTTGTTGCTTGTATAAATTTGTTTTTTGTATAATTCTTGGAAAGGAAAAAAGTCAACTATGTTTTTCTTGTAGATCTGGACTCTGGAGGATTTTCGGCGGAAACATTGTTTGTTTTAGCGACGTTTCGTTTAGTGTTTATAGATCGCTAACTGCATAATCCCATTACGTTTAAATTTCAGTAATTACGCTTATTTGGCAGAAAAATTTTGAAAAAACAAGAACCAAAATTTGGAGTTTGTAAACATTGTGTTAGTGATCAGTCACATCTACGAGCTGTATTTGGTTGAGACGAAAAATGACTTCCGCGCAAAAACACAAAAAGTAATACGTAATGTTACCCTTGAAAAGTAATGCGTTATGAGACCTACAGCTCTGATTTAAATTAACCGGAAAAAATTAAGCACGTTGAAAAATTTAAACAAGTTTTTCCCAAATTGGGTTTTATTAGACAAAAAGTGAACAAGACAAAAGTTGCTCAGAATTTAAACAGAATTAATATGATGGAGTTTGGTTTTGCGAAAATGCAGCTAAACTTTCACCCCAAAAATAGATCAAACTGGCTGTTTTTATGTATCATGAATTGCGCTTAAACTGCTAAGTTAATGAATAAGAAAGAATATAATGTAACCAGCTTTTAACACAGCCCAACAAATTTCTAAAAGATTAAAATCACCTAAATTTTATAGAAGAAACGGCCCTTTTGGCTATCAAGCAATAATATATTTTCTCATACAAATTTTTGGCGATTGAACTCTTGTAGAATTTTTCTGGTGTGCATAAGTTCAATAATAAATTTTTTGTGCATTTCAAAGAGCTTTAAGGTCATGTATTTTTTATTTGAAATTCGAAAAATGACTAGAGAAATAATAAGTTTTTTTTCTGTTTCCTTGCATTCATTTTTTTTCCAACTCACGAGTTGGAAAAAATGCTTGTCTTCTAATTTCATACCATGTAATTGTGCAGTTTCATACAATTTCATGGACCGAAAAACTGTATGAAAAGAGCAAAATAAGAATTTTTCATGTTATTAAATTTTAAAATAAGTTTTTTTAGCCACATTCTGGAATTAAATAGCTGCTTTTTGCGAAACTTTTCATCACCAAAATTATATGAAAGTAGCACAAGCTACTTTTTATACGATGAAATTGGTTGATGCTTTTTTCCTTTCTATGAAACTAAGATATTTCCATAAACGCAAATGCAACAAAAAACTGTTCCGAAATTTGGTGTTTTTTTTCCAAATACACAATAACCAAGGATTTCTATAATGAGAACACTCAGAGTATAATTGGCAGGTGTCACGCAGATAAGCTTTTTTTGGTGATATAAGCCATGAAAGTTAATTTTTAAAAGTTTTTCTTTCAAAATTATATACTAAAAATGTATCTTGTTATGACTAGAAAGCTTTTACTTCGAACGTTTCGGTGGTTGAAATAAAAGACCAGTTTTTTAACAAAATAAGGTTTCTCTAAGCAAATGATTAATGAACATATTTTTTGTGCTTTTGAAAAATACTTGCTGGTTATTTTTGGGTGAAAAACTCAAACCTGGACCAATTTATCGATAAAATATATCAAATTTTTCAAGCAAAATTTAATTTTTCGTAAAACTTATCTGAACACAGATGCCAGCTCGGAATCAAAAAGGGATAAACAATTCTTACCTCAATATTGTATTTTTTCTATGATGAACCTTTTTTAGTTATTTTTTTTACTTGCCAAAGTTGCTCTTATGAAACCAAAACTACAACTGATTTGAGTTTCAAGCCAACTTTAAGATAACTCTCCAACAAAACGTTTTGATTGAAAATTTGCTTATCCTACAGTTTTTTCAAGGAAAATTGTATGATAAACATTTTTTCGATAGACTAGTTATGAAATTGTATGACAAGCATTTTCCTTCTATGGAAGTCAGCCGTGGGTGTTGAGAATAATTAGAAAATTATTCTTTTGCTTCAAAATTTATGCATGAATTTCATGTTTTGAGAATTTTGCACGATTTTCATCAAGCAGAAAAAGTTTATCACAAGGAAAATGGGTTTTAAATGTGATCACACAAATCAGATACGAAAAAGTAAACATCAAGAGAAAACCTTACAGTACTCTGCAAGCAACTAATTTCAACTTCTGATGTAAACTATGTCAGTACCAACAAATAATTGTAAATAAGTACTCAAATGTGTCGATAGAACACCCTTAGTAGCCTGTACAAGTGACTGATAATGAAATGACTATATTATACAGTATAGTTCTCAAGTTTGATGCATACAGTGCACTAATAGTTCTTAAAGTCGCCACCGATGTAATATTGCTCATTTTTTCTCATTTAGGTGCGTACGCCGGAGGTGTGGCCGCCCCCACCGCCTATCCTCACCATGGTGCTTACACGGCCGCCAATGGCGCCGCCAACCCAGCTGCGGCGGCGGTCGTCTCGGGTGCTGCGGGGGCCTATCACGGTGCTGCTTCTCACGGTGCATTACAGTCTGCGGCTGCTGCTCAAGGCCAGCACCTTCAGCCACAGGTAAATAGTCATAGCCGGTGTTTTTTTTTCACGGGAATAATTAGCTTCTCTTTTTCATTTTCTCTCACGTCACGTGATCTTCAATTTTTATGGCGTAACGAGTGCGTTAACGAAGTAATTATGAAAATCAAATCTGATTTGCATGAAGGAAAAGAGCGAAATTGGTATTTAATGTGGCTAGTTAACAGTCCACACTGCTGAAAGTGTAAAATGATGTCTATTCATTTTTCCCGCATTTTTGATTTGTTTTTAGCCAGATCTTTTGGGGTACTCACTCGACTTTTAATCCTTCTACTGGATCTTGTTAACAATCCCCCCATGGCAATAGGGGGATTCGTAACAAGGTTCCAAATTCGTATATGCTTAACTGACCAATTATCAATTCTCTCTCTTTATAGGGGGGGGGGGGGGATTCGTTACAAAGTACCATAGGGGGAAAATAGTTAACAAGATCCTTTCTACTGGATTTAGACTGGTTTTTGTTATGGTCATTTGATTTTGAAGCTGATTTTCGTTTATGCAGAATCAATGCAACAATGAAAAGGAAAACGTTGAGGAAACCCGCACTCCCGTTTTAGTTTCAAAAGATTCAAGTTTTAATTGTTAATTTTAGTAAAGCTTGAGTTTATCCGACAGCTCAACAATTTTAATTCTTGTGGTTTTTAAAAGAACAAATTCAAGTTCTTTAGTAAAAAGGAGGCAAAGACGAGTGGAAATAAACTGAATTATTGTTTCGAAAGTGGATGTGGTGATCTCAACCCAATTAAAAACCATCTACGGGCTAGTTTTCTCAAATTGGGTTGATTTTTGAAAGAAGATTCTCCTAAGAGAATGTGATTGATTATTTTGTCCTTGGTGATTTTGTCGTTCAAGAAGTCTAATTGCACTTATAGCTCCCCAAAGTCTATTGATACACATTAATGCATTTATGAATGCTTTTAAAAGTATATGCACTTTTGGAATTCAATTTTAAGTCGCCTGCTAAAAGTTAGATCCAGTTTTCGCAAATTGGGTTATTTTTATCAAAAAATTGTTAACCATAAATTATTCTTGAATTTCCAAAGGTTTTAAGGCCATTTGTTTTTTATTTTGAAATTCGGAAGTTTTGAAAAATTTTAAGTTCTCTAACCACTCCAGAAGTGCCTTCATTCAAAATAATGCATAAACAAAGCACTTTTTGGGTTTTTTTTTTCAAGTTCATTTGCTAAAAGTTAGGTTAATTGCGGTCTCCAAATACGAACGCGAAAATTGCGCAAAAAACGCGAACGACTAATATCGAAATTGTTTTTTTTTCAAATTCCCAAGGATTAAAACATTTACCTTTTGCTCCAGTTTTCTCAAATTGGTTTAATTTCATCAAAAAAGCGTGGATCGAAAGTGTTTCTTGAATGTTAAAGAGATATGAGGCCATGTATTTTTCGAACAACAATTCAGTATTCTTTTGTTTCGTTGCGTTCATTGACGCTTTTCTAATTGTCTGTTGGCTTTGTTTTTGTTAAAACTCAAAAGCTGATACATATTTTTTTAATGAAAATCTAATTTTGGGGCTCATTGAGTTCAATAACATTTTTTCATTCGTCTGCTGGCTCAAGTTCTCATATTGGATTAGTTTTTTTTTTCAAAAAACTCAATTATCAACGATTTTTGAAATTCAGAGAGCTTGAAGCGGATTTTTTTTAACGCACGATTTGAGTGAGAGTTTTTTAAACTGAAAAATTTAAAAAAAGAATTTCGGTATTTTTGTTTTTTAGCCCCACTGAGTTCATTGATGCACACTTTCCAGCTGTTTATTCGCAATTTTTTTTCATTGCTAATATTTGTAAATATAATTTTTAGCTTTTTCCTAAGCATTTTTTATTAAATTCCTTCAAAGAAAACAGTCGCACAGCTGTGTAATTTAATATGTATGTCGATGTGATTATGTTAGAAGCGTCTTGATATGTTAGAGTCATGAAAGTAGTGAATACTTTTATATAGGTTTTGGTGATTTTTTTGTTTTTTATGCTCAAATTTGATTTTTTTTGCTGTGTGATTTTTGATTTACGTTATTTCAGTTCATTTACTTTGTTAAAAGGAAAACAAGTTTCACTATCGAACGGATAAAAACGTGATTGACTTCTAGTTTTGAAGGGGACTTTAGTTCTCAGTTTTCACAGCGGAATATAAATTTTACATACAAAAAAAGTGTTAATTGTTGAACTTCTGTCAAAAAACAAGTCTGATTTTTTTTCTCTTTCCTTGCGTTCATTGACTTTTTTTCCAACTGTCTATTCGCTTTTTTTTGCTGTGTGATTTTTGATTTACGTTGTTTCAGTTCATTTACTTTGTTAAAAGGAAAACAAATTTCACTATCGAACGGATAAAAACGTGATTGACTTCTAGTTTTGAAGGGGAATTTAGTTCTCAGTTTTCACAGCGGAATATAAATTTTACATACAAAAAATTGTTAATTGTTGAAACTCTGTCAAAAAACAAGTCTGATTTTTTTTCTCTTTCCTTGCGTTCATTGACTTTTTTTCCAACTGTCTATTCGCTATGTTTTTGCCTCACTGATTTTTTTTTCAACTGTTTCTTCGCAATGTTTTTTATTCTCTTAGTTACAAAAACCATTTAATTAAGCTCTGCTTTTTTGTCAAAATTTAATTTTTACCTGTTTGTTTTTTGATTTAATTCTTACTTAGCGAGCCTAATGTCCTATTATGAGTTCACTTTTTTTCAACCCAACGTGCATTAATTACTTCTCTAAATTGTTGGCACTTGTCTGCTTAGCATTAAAGCGTTGGCACTATTGCTGCATTTTTTCCGCTTTATTGATAGCTAGCTCGGGTGGCCCAGATGTGTTGACATGCCCCGTTTTTATTACATAAGCAAAGCTTGTGTGATAGTATGAACTTTTTTTCCAATCTAAGCCGCAAACATTCATGTTCATTTTGAAAGTGTTCATAAGATCAATAACCAGCTTTTAAGTATAGCCAATGCCAGGGTTATTAAATCAGATTTTTATGAAGAGTAATGAACGTAGTTAAGACTCTTATATAGGTCATGCGGATTTTTTTTTCAGGAAAAAGTCTTAAAAGTCTCCAATAACTACAGATGTGCATTCATACATATTGATGCATTTTTGAATGCACTCAGGTAAATTTGCACTTTTCGAGTTCAATTGAGATTTATCTGCTGAAAGTGACGTACAAAGCACCTTCGAAATACGAACGTGGAAATGGCGCAAAAAACGTGAATGAGTTTTAGTTTCGAAAGTGGAATTTAATTTTTACATTGCCAGCGGAAAAGAAAACAACCTATTGATCGAGTTTTCTCTAGTAGGGTTCATTTTATTAGAAAAGTGCCAACATAAGTTGTTCTAGAAATTCAAAAAGCTTAAGGGGCTTCTATTATTTTTTTTGAAATTCGAAAGTTGAGATTTTTTAAACAAAGTTAGTATTTTTTTAATGTTTACTTGCGTTCTTTACTTTTTTCCTATCTATGTCCGGTTGGCTATGTTATTACAAATAGCTGGTTAAGCTCCAAGGTATCAGGGATCTGTAGTGTAGAGGTAGAGAAGGAGACCCGCAACAAACTATGAGCGTTCGAACCTTGGAAGGGTCGGATGTTTTTAATGAACTTTTTCGTATCCTAGTACTAGTAAAAATGCACCCGCTCGATAAATTGAGGCCTGTTAGTTGTTAATTTTCTTTAAATTGACTGGTACTGCTAATGCGTCATATTTGGGTTGTTTAAAATGAGCTATTATGTAGACTCAAATTTTTACTCATTCAGTTTTTCCCATTAGCGTTACCGGTCATATTTTTGCTTGTATATGCGAAGTGCAACTTTGCCTCTGTGTAATATATTAGTAACAGATCATGATAAAGTTGAAATAGTCATTAATATTGAATTTGTTTTTTAAATTTTTAATTTTGTTCACTAGGTGAACGGCGGAATGGCCTCGGTGGCCCAGAGTGCAGTCGCATCTTCAGCTGGGGGTCAAATCTCCCAACAGGCGAATGGCGACACCAATGGAGTCGATCAACAGCAACATCAGTCAGCGGGGGAGTTGGTTCCAAGTGATGTTCAGAGACAAGCACAAGCACAGGAGGAGACCCAATTCTACATGAACAGGTTAGTTAGGTTAAATTTTTTTATAATAAGTTAAAACTTGTTTTAAGTTTTTTAAAATAATTTTGAATTTTTTAAAATTATTTTTTAAAAACTTAAGTTTTTTTATAATAAACTGATTCATAAGTTAGCGAGTATTAAAGATGTCAAGTTTGTTGGGTACATTGTGTTAGTTTGAAGAAACTTGCAAGAGTTACATTTAGCAGAAAAAATGAATGGTAGCCTAATCTTTGAATGTTGGAAGTATCTTGTTTGAAGCGCTTAGAAATGTTTGTGCTGCCAACTTAATCTTCGAATTCAACTAATTAAACTCAATCGGGGTTCAAACACCCTTGGTAGAAGATTTGGTCTAATTTTTTTATCTGAAGTTGCACTAAGGATACGTAATCTATTGGAGAAACTATAGTTTCAATGTGCCGTGAAAAGACAAGTCGTATAAAACTTGAAAGAAATTTACATTTTCTTTTAATCTAACTGTGAAAGAATAAGACAGTAAACTATCAAGGCGGTAAAAAAAACTTAAACAAAAGAGGAAAGAGCAGCAAAGTTAGAGCATTGTTTTGATATTTTAAAGAGTTTGTTAGCCTATGCTGAAATTAATCATATTTAGGACATTTATTGGGCTTTCCTCCGATTTGAACTAACTCGGACAGTTTTTGGTCAGATTTTGTTACTTTCTTATCTGCTGAATGAACTTAGCTACAGTGGAGTGATCGTAACCCGTTCCTAGTAGAAAATAGTTCGACCACCCCGCGACCGAACTGTTGTTTTATGTTCCAGTTATCGCATTGTTAAACTGATTAGCTGGCTAAAAAAGGTTTCAGTTTAGCTGTAACTTCCACTTATATATCCGGGCCCACGTTGGTCGAGATATCGCTTGGGTTGTTTGTTTTCAGTTTTTTACGAGTATTAATTGTAGTGAAGACTATTATATAAATTTTTTTGGTGTTTTTTTAGGATGAAGTCCTAATATGCTCTAATGCTTACAGATGTGCATTCAAGCACATCAATGCATCTATGAATTCGCTGAGGTATATATGCACTTTTTGAGTTCAATTGACCTCATTTGCTGAAAGTTACGTAAATAGCACTCTTCAAATACGAACGTGGAAATGACGCGAAAAGTGAACGAATTCTACTTTCGAAGGTGGAATTTAATTTTTAGATTTCCAGCAGAATAAAAAGTTTATCTTCTGATTCAGTTTTCTCAAACAAAGTTGGGTTAATGTTATCTGAAAAAAGCCAATCATAAATTTTTCTAGAAATTCAAAGAGCTTTAAGGGCATCTTTTTTTTTCTTCGAAATTCAGAATTTGAGATTTTTTCACAAGTCAGATTTTTTCTGTTTTGCTTGCGTTCATTACTCTTTTCCAACTATCAGTTTGCTAAGTTTTGGCGTGCAAAGCTTCTGGTGCCAGATTCAAGTCGATTAAAGCTAGTTTAATATGTTATTTCGCTTTCTTCCTTAACTCTTTTTGTAATCAACCACCACTCTTTATTCATGGATTTTTCACACACTGACCTCGCGAATTGAAAGAAGCACCCTTTAACCAACACTGAGGGAATTCTGTTTTCAATGCCAAAATTGCTGCTTTTTTGGAGTAAATTACACTCTCTGATTTGATTTAGCAATACAAAGTATTCTCGGTAACATAACGATTTGCAGATTTTAAAAGTACCATTAGCGTATCAGTTGGTGTGAAGCTCAAAAATGTCCCCAAGTGACTGTTCAACGACCCGGCCTCGAGTCACCCGGCCTCGAGAAAGAATCACCCGGCCTCGAGTCGTGAGCTAAGAATTCGTTACCTTCAGAGTTGGTTGTCTGAAGATCCATGGGAATTGCGATGACCATCACGGTCTTTTGCATAGCTCTGAATAGTTTCGCGTTGAAAAGGATTTAAAACCGACGCGGTTAGGCTTGTTTTCTAAACACTCTTTAGAAACGATAGTCGTTAAATTTATCTATTTTTAAATTTAGTTTATTAACATGATAAATTGAAAAATGCGAAAAAAACCAAGACACATGTAGAATGCTTTCTGGTCCAATTCTCGTTCGTGGGCAAAACCGAATGTAAATTATTTAGTTGTTTCTCCGCTTATTAGTTGTCTTGTATGAATATGTAATTATTCGTGATTTTCAAGGTAGTTATGAGCATCTACAAGTTGTTATGCTTTCATTAAATGGAACTACCTGAATTTTCATCTTCCTTCATTAAATTTCATCTTCAAAGATCAAGATTTGCTTTTCTCACTGAATTTTACGGAATTGCAACAATATTTAAAAAGAGTAATTAGATTTTGAAATCAAATTGGCAATATTTTTTTGTGATTGATTCGTATCTGAATGCAATCAAGGCGTTGGACGTAATTTTCTTTTTTTTTCGAGCTAAAAGACTCATATATTTCAACATACGTGTTTAAGAGTAATGAACTTAGTGAAGACTCTTATGTAGGTCTTGCTGATTTTTTTTTCAAAATTTGTTCACGCTCAATTTTGATTTTTCGCGGTTTGACTTGTGATTTCTTTTGAAGTTCAGTACATTGTCGTTGTTAAAAGGAAGGCAAACTCCATTATTGAGCAGCAAAAGTGGTAAAGATCACGAAAAACGTGTTGACTTCTGATTTCGAAATGGGTATATAATTACCGAATTTTCCAGCTAAATAAAAAGTTTGCTATTAGTCCAGTTTTCTCACATTGAGTCAATTTTATCAAAAAAGTGTCCATCATTAGTTGTTCTACATATTCAAAAAGCTTCTAGGCCATCTATTTTTTTCTTCGAAATTCAAAAGTTGAAGGCTCTTGAAAAAACGAGTCAGTTTTTTTTTCAGTTTCATTGCGTTCATCACTCGTCTCCTACTGTTATTTGGCTATGTTTTTATTTTAGAATAAAGTTTACAGGCATTTATTAAGTGATAGGTAGGAGATTCTATGCCTTAGTTCGAGGATAATTTTGAGATTATCTGACTGTTTTTTAAACCAATTATCACATTTTGCGAGTTGTCATAATTGCTAAATTTTGAGATTTGTTGCGCAATGTGTTTGTTGCGAGATGTCTTGATAAGATTTTGTGCTTGTTTTTTTACTCAACCGACAATTGTTTCAATAGTTTTTTGTGTGTGTCTAGGCAAGCGATGGGACGTGACGAGATGACCTACGAGTACCTGGAAAGGTGTCGGTGGATGACAGAGCAGATGGGAGGCACAACAGGGAATCTTCTCGCGATGCCATACGGAAGTGTGTTCTAATTGAACAACCGATAAACACAGACAGAAACAGAGAAAAACAGACGAGAAAAGAAAATAATAAAAACGAATGAAGGCATCAAAGAGGTTTATAACTGCAAAGAAGTAATAAATATAAAACAGAAAAACTGAATTGGTTCAAAAACAGATTTGTATAATGACAGAATTGCACGTGGAAGAGACTGAGAAAACTGACGGAAAAAGCAAAAAAAATAATTGCAGGCTGAAATAATCATTCGATGCAATGACCCATGCTAGCACTCTTTATTTCTCAATTACACGACTTGAAAAAAAATAACTCAATGTATCTGGTTGCTGAAACAAATGTCTTGCTTGAGCTTAGAAGTCAATCTCGAATGCAACTTTGTCAACAGAGTTTAAATTGCCAGGAAGATTACAAAACTGAAGAAAGTTGGAGACCACCTTGATGGAAAAACTGGCTGCTTTCATGAAGAGTTAACTTAGATTGACAACAACTGATTTCAGTATTTTTTATCCATATGTATTATAGCTTACCGCGTATCCGTGTCTTATTGGTGTTTTGAGTGTGATGTATTAGTTGTTTGCATTTGAAATGATTGGTTAATAATATAATTAAAAAAATTGAAATGGAATTAGATCTAAGAGAGGCTAAGTCTGAATGGTGCTTTGGGTAATTCATTTCTGTTTTGGGCCTCATAATGCAACAGAATTACTAAACAGACTTGAGATGCATAATAATTTGGTGAAGTTTTTTTAGTGTTTCTGTTGCTACTTGAACGAGGCGTCTTTTCTGTAATAAATAACACTTGTTGTTCGAACAAATCTAGATTGGTTTATAGAATTTGGAATTTTGAATTTTCATTTTATTTAAATGTCCTAGTCCTTCACGTTTTCTCTTTGTCCATAACTTTCTGTACAATTTCTATAGAGCTCAAAAAACGATGGCACAATAATAATGATGCAACGAAAGTAAAAGTTATTTTGCTTCGAAAGAGGATTATTTTGTCCTTATTCGATTTTTTCTAATTCTCCAAATTTCGTAGTTAGTTACGAATTCAGAATCATTAAGAAACATTAACACACGAGTAATGCCACGTTTTTTCTCTTGCTTTTTGTCTTGTTGTTTTTTTTTGACAATGTGAACAATTAAAACTAACTTGTGAGCAGTTTAGATTTCATGTTTTCTGCTGGTGCTGTTTTTTCTACTATTCACTTCATTTTTTATAGCTTGGTTTCCCATTTTGTCCTTTAATCCCCTCAAGAACTAACAGTTGCTAAAAGCCTTATCGCTGTATAGTTGGTGACAATTTCGAAGCTTCAAAAAAGCGTGAAATTTTCGTAACTGTTTCCAAACATTCGTGAAGATTTTGTCAATTTGACCGGCGTATTTTTTGTGTTTATTTGAAAAAAACTGTAAATTAATTAGGATGCTTAAATTGTCACCAATACAACCTTGACCCAACAATCAGTAAAGTCATTCAATTCAATTAGGCCTCAAATAACCAACAAACATGAACATATGAATCCTATTTTGGCCCTTAGCATATAATGGCTCAAAATAATTAAACATTTGTTCAGCAAGCTTAAGTTGGAAAAAAATTATCTAAGTAATCCAAAAAAATATCTCAATATTATCGATATTCTAACACCAGGTTTTTTCTCTCAAAATAAAAGTTGGTTGGTTTACAGTAAGAATGCTGGTATGTTGTAAGATTGACGATTCTTAAAAATTTAAATGCGAACAATGTGATTTAGCAGAGCTTTGGATTCATTCGTAGAAATGAAAAATCTTGAATTGAAACTTTTAGATAGGGAAGTCCAGATTCTAGTTTGTATGTTTGTACATCTCAAATTCCGTTTTTCTAGTGCTTCAATCGAAAGTTTTGAGTCGAGTTAACTTGAGTTGGATTAAGTGTGCAGTTTTATACGCTCCGAGGGAAAAGTGCATTCCATCAAATTTAATGAACGATAACAAATAAAAAAGCAAATCGGAAAAAATATCGAAACTTTTGAATAATTTATCATAATTGAAACTAACTCAATGGAAAGTCAAGGCAATTTTCAATTGTTTCATTGTTCTGACTATGATTTAATTCAAAAATGTTTTTGACTTTTTTAAAGGAATTTTTTTTTCCAATGAACATCATTTTCCGAATTGCTTGTGTCTCTAAACGCAAACACAACTAACCCACTCAACACTCAATAACTGTGCTAAGTTGTCACTTTTTACGATATTCAGACAAATGACAAACACATCACTTCACACTAGAAAATCAATTTTCATCAAATCATTGTGCGAAAAACTGGCTACTGTGCTCTATTCGTTGTGACATTTGTTTGCTTGCTTCGATATAAAAGTATATGTCAACAGAAATGAACAATAGAACGTGTTGGCTGACTATCACGTATGAGCTGACTTTGTTGGTGGCCTCTCTTTGCGTTTGGATTTGACCTTGGCCAATAATTAAACAAACTTTCATCTTGAATTAACCTATCCTACCCAAACCCGCCGTGCTATGTTTTGCCTCGATACCCAAACGACTTTCTTATTGTTGTCCTTAGTATGTACGTATGTAATGTAAGTTTTTTTATGCTTTCAAATCCACCTTAACCCAAAACCCCCTCCCCCAAAAAAATGCTCGCCCAAAGTTTCCCCCTTTTGCGCTCTAATTAAACGACTGCTATTGTTGATTCGCTATTTCATTATAAGTAAATATTTTATTTCTTATTTTTTATTTTGCTTTGTCGGAGTTTTCTAAAAATAATAATATTGTATCTATTAATATTAAGTAATAAGATAATTAATGTATGTTAACGAATCTCAGTGTAAAATAATGTATTTTGTTTCAACAACGTATTAGTATTGTCAAGTTTTGCTTTTACTTTTAAAATGCCAGTTAGCCCTTAAAGTTAATAACAACGGTCAAATTTTAGTATAACAGCTTTTGTTTATTGAGAATCAAGTTTAGATAATGTTTTGTATAATTTGACCTATGTTGTTGACTTCAAAAGGACTGTTTAAGATGTTGTAAGATAAAGAATAAATTGTATGGTTGCGTTTGGATAAGTAGCGAAAACCGAGCTTCAGTTTTAACGATATCGAATTGATTCAATGAAATGTGAATTGCAATGTCTAATGAAATCCTTTCTCGTTAAGTGTCTGCTCAATTGCTATTGGCTGGATTGAGTGGATGTGCAAATGTCAGTTGTTTGATAGATTAGGAATTATTCAAATTGCGATCAGTTTATCCAATTGAAATGACAGTCTTTATATCTTGTCTTTTTCATTAACCATAGAACGAAAATATATTCAAGTGAGTTGGGATCTGTTAACTATCCCCCCACCTTTGGTACCTAGTAACTAATTGCCACCTTAGTAACGAATAACGACTGATATCTTTCCATGCTTAAGCATATGTGAATTTTGTACCTAATAATGGAGGGGGATGGGGCTAATTAAAGCGATTCGTGTAGTTAAAGATATTCGTGAAAAAGAGTTTTAATTAGAAAATTGTCTGAGAATGATTAATTAAAGCATTACAAATAATGATAAGTTCCGGGTTAATTTATAAAATCACTTAGTTGTTGTTGTTAGAAATTTAAGAATATATCGTAAATGAAATCATTAGAGGGCTTGAATTGAGTGGATTTTCCACACAACTGAATTTTTCATTTCAGTTGGACTAATCACACCTTGTATGTTCAATGTATGCTTATTTTTGAAGTGTTTCGGAATCGGATATGTATTGTAACCATAATCATGCGTCTACAGTTGTAAGAAAGTTGTCATTCAGGTGGACTATAATTGAGATTGAGTAATCGTAGTCTGCCTTCTGAAGTGTAAGCAAAAATAGTGGAGTGATCTATGAAACACAAGACAAATATGTCTTCCAACGGTGCTACTCCTGACATGGGCTCAATTGTTGTCTCTTCACCATTCTCAACCTTGGACAGCACACTCTCTAAGTCTATATCGTACACTAGTGTTTTATATGCATTTAAGTTTTCATTCAAACTCGAGGCAAAAAGATACCCTCTTAATGAGTTAGTCGAAGGCTGGTCTTCAGACTCCAATAAAGATGGTATCCAAACCATTCTGATAAGATTTTTAACTCCACGTAGAGTGATATACTTGACATAAACAGGTTGCAGATTGTCTGCTTCTTTTGTCGTTTGTGTTTTAGTTTGATTCGATTCATTCGTTTGTTGTTCTCGTGGTTTTGGTTTTGGCAATGAGACCACTGCCACTCTGTTCCTCCATCCACATTTGAGGAGTAGAGTGTTCTCATTGACCAACACATTGCGTCTCGTAGAAACGAAATAGTGCTCTCGAGTTAATATGTCAATGGGCACTGTATGTTGTCTCTCCTGATTGGAATAAACAGTCACACTAGCCCATCTGTATGCTCCGTGTTTACGATGATCATGAACGACTACTGCAATAGTGTCATTATAACTCAACAGCACCCAATATGTCCCTTCTCCATTCAGAATATCTGTAGTATCTAATGTGTTCTTCTTCTTGAGGGTTTTCAGTTCCACTTCTTCCACTGAGGGTTTACAGTTCCAAATATCATAATAAATGCAGGCATACACGCGATTACGGCTGTCAATTGCCAAGTCAGATATATCATGGGCTCTGCTGCTTTTCTCTCTGAGTCGTGACAAGTTCAATGACCTGTTCAGTTTTGTACTCGCCGATTTCAAGTTCAAACCGTACACTTTGAGTACCTCTCTGTTTTTAGCTACGCTTATCAGCTGGTTGTTAACACTGTCGTAAACCATTCTGCCAGCAATCTCCATTGTGCCCGAAAGTTTCTGAACATCAATTCCCATCAATCGATTCGCTGGGTGATGTCTTCTGCCTTCATCAATTTTTTTTTCTCCGCTATTTTTGTCAACAGTTTGTATGTTACCAATGTTTTCGCTATTGATTTTAGATGAAACTGCACCTGCGGTTACAGTGCTCGTTGTTTCGTCCACATATTTCTGCAGACAATCATTGTAAATTCGCCTGCCTGACTCAATTAGTAGCTCAAATGTATCCAACATGTTTGTTTTCACATCATTTATTGAGTTTAATTGTCGGCCCAAAATCAAAGTAGCGTTTTGAGACAATTGACGCAATTCTTCTTTTACTTTTGAATTCATGACTGAGTTTTGGGCATTCATTGCGTTATCTACGTCGTTAATTATAGTTTCGTACTCAGAGAAAATGTCAAGAATTTTTCGACTCTGTTTCTGGAATTTAGTAATGTTTTCAAATTTGACTGTTTCAGAGTCGAGCAAGTTTTCAAAAGGGACGACGTCGTTTGTGTGATCCGAATGTTTATCAGTCCAGCATTCGCTACAAATCTGAATTTCACAGCCTGTTTTTGTACAATAAAACTCCATCCGTTGGCCTCGATGCGATTTGCATACTGGGAATTTGTCTGACTGTGACTCTAAAGTGAAAGTTAAAACTTGGACATCGCAGTTTGATATTTAATCCAACTTAATCGTCGATACAATTAAATTTGTATTAAATTAAAATAAAAATCAAATTTTTACCGCTTGGAAATTGCGAGTCATATGGCGGGGGTTGAATTGCAGGCAGTCCATTATAAGAATCAACCTGCAAATCGCTGACACTGAAGTTTGATGAGTATTTGGTTCTATGGTTTCTGCAATCTGTTCTGGGACACCTGGGTTCACTACTGGCACAGATGAAATGCGCGCATCGTTTAGATGAGTTTGGACCACATATTAAATGTCCACAAGGAAGTTTTCTACTGTCTTGCAGTTTGTGTTGACCGAGGGAACATTCCGCGAAGTTGGTTTCTAAAGTAAAAAATGTTCTTTTTTTTCGGTTTGACTGTTACAACCATTGTGAATCAGAAAAAAGTACAAAACATGCTGACAAGCCTTACAATGGCAAGTTTTGTTTTTAAAAACCAGCCTTTGTTGTTTGTGCATATCTGGAAATTCGATAAAAGCCTTTAAGTAAGACAAAGTTTCGTAAAATGAAATTGTCGCGGAATCCACAAATAAATAATTTTACCGAAAAATTCAGATTGTTTAATGTGTCACAGTACATTCAACAGGCGAAAAAGTCAAAACATATCAAATAACAGAAAATTGGGAGAGGCAGGGCGAGGCAACACAGGGCAGGGTAAAGCAAGGCAAGGTAAGCAGGGCCAGGGCAGCGCAAGGCAAATCGGGGCAAGGCAGGAAGCCATAGAGCAAGGTAGGTCAACGTAAAGAGGGACAGGGTAGCGCAGAGAGGGACAGTGTAGCTCAATGCAAGGTGGGGGCCTGTCAAGGAGGGGCACGATGGGGCAAGACAAGGAGATGTATAACAAGGCGGGGCAGCACAAAGAAAATTAGTGTAGCGCAAAGGAAGGCGGGGCAGCGCAGGGCAAGGAAAAGCAGTGCGACGCAAGGCAGGACAGCTAGGCATTGAGTGCCAGGGCAGCGCAGTGAAATGATGGGTAGTGCAGTGTAAAGAAAGGCAGGGCAGAGCAAGAAGAAGGACGAGACAAGGTAGGGCAGGGCAAGGAGGGACAGGGCAGCGCAAGGCAAGGTAGGCCTGGGCGGGGCAAGTCAGTGCAGTGCAAGGCAGGACTGCGCATGGCAAAAAGAGGCAGAGCAGCGCAAGAAAAGATGAATTGGGCGGCGCAAGGAGAGGCAGCGCAGCGCAAGGCATGGCAGGGCAAGAAGGAGCAGGGCATTGCCTTGAGGGTATACCAAAGTAGAGAAGCGCGAGGCATTACTGGGCAGCGCAAGGAGGGACCGGGTAGCGCAAAGTAAGGAGAGGCAGGGCAGGGCAAAGAAGTGCAAGGCTGGGAAAGTCAGGATAGCACAAGGCAGGGGTGCGCAAGGCAAAAAGTGGCAGGGCAGCGCAAGGAATGATGGGTTGGGTGGCGCAAGGAGAGGGCATTGAGGGGTAGAACAAAGCAGAGAAGTGCGAGGCAATACTGGGCACCACAAGTAGAGGCAGGGTAGCGCAAGGCAAATGGGGGCAGGGCATTGAAGGGTAGAGCGAGGCAGGGCAGCGTGAGGCAAGACAGGGCAGCGCAAAAAGGGACAGGGTAGCTCAATGCAAGGTTGCGGCAGGCGAGGCAAGGTAGGGCAGCGCAAGGCAAGGTGGAGAAGGGAAGCTCAAGGCAAGGACTAGAAGGGCAGCGCTAATCAATGTAGGGCAGAACAAGGAGAGGTGAGGCAAGGCGGGGCAGTGCAACGATGGGCAGGGTACCGCAAGGCAAGGTGGGGCAGCGCGGGGCAATGAGTGGCAGATAAGCGTTAGGGAAGGCAGGTCAGCGCAGAGCAAGGAGAAGCAGTGCGAGGCATAGAATCACAGGGCTAGGCAAGGATTGACAGTGCAGGGCTAGGCAAGGATTGACAGTGCAGGGCTAGGCAAGGATTGTCACGGCAGTGCAAGGCATTGAGGGGCAATGCAGCGTAAGGAAAGGCAGGGCAGCGCAGAGCAAGACGAGCGAGACATGGTAGTGCAAGGAGGATCAAGGCAGGGCAGCACACGACAAAGCAGGTCGGCTCTAGGGGCAGGGTAAAGCAAGGCAAGGTGGGACATCATAACACGAATTGGCAGAGCAGCGCAAGGCAAATAGGGCCACGGCAGCGCAAGGTAAGGTAAGGCAAAGAGGGTTAGATCAATTCAGAGCAGGTGTAGTGTAGCGCAAGGCAAAAAGATCAAGGCGAACAAAGCAACGCAAGTCAAGGCAAGGCAGGGCAATGAGAGGAAGAGCAAGGCAGGTGAAGGAGAGATGGCGCACGGCAATTTAGGGCAGCCTACGGCAAATTGAGAGGCGCAAGTAGGAGCATGGTAGCGCAAGGCAAGGATGCAGGGCAGCGCAGGTCAACGAGGGGCAGGGCAGAGCAGGGCAGCTCTAGGCAAGGCAGGGCAGGGTAAGGAAGGACAAGGCAGAACAGGGAAAAGAGGAGCAAGGTAGGATAAAGCAAGACCAGGTAGGGCAGAGCAAGGCAAGGAGTGGTGGAGCAGCATAGGGTAGAGTAAGGCAAGGTAGGGCAAGGATGGATAGAGTAAAGCAGGGCAGCGTGAATAAGGCAGGGTAGTGCAAAGAGATGCAGGGTAATACAATGCCGGGTTGGGGCAGGGCAGCCTAAGGCAAGGCATGGCAGGGTAAAGAAGGGCAGGGCGATGCAAGGCAGTGCAGCGCAAGTCAAGGTACGGCACAGCAAGGCAAGGTAGGATAAAGAGGGGAAGACCAAGGCAAGGCAGCTCAAGGAGAGTCAGGGTACCGCAAGAGAAAGAGGAAGAGGGCAGCGTGAGGGAAGGCAGGGCAGCACACGACAAAGCAGGTCGGCTCTAGGGGCAGGGTAAAGCAAGGCAAGGTGGGACATCATAACACGAATTGGCAGAGCAGCGCAAGGCAAATAGGGCCAGGGCAGCGCAAGGTAAGGTAAGGCAAAGAGGGTTAGATCAATTCAGAGCAGGTGTAGTTTAGCGCAAGGCAAAAATATCAAGGCGAACAAAGCAACGCAAGTCAAGGCAAGGCAGGGCAAGGAGAGGAAGAGCAAGCCAGGTGAAGGAGAGATGGCGCACGGCAATTTAGGGCAGCCTACGGCAAATTGAGAGGCGCAAGTAGGAGCATGGTAGCGCAAGGCAAGGATGCAGGGCAGCGCAGGTCAACGAGGGGCAGGGCAGAGCAGGGCAGCTCTAGGCAAGGCAGGGCAGGGTAAGGAAGGACAAGGCAGAACAGGGAAAAGAGGAGCAAGGTAGGATAAAGCAAGACCAGGTAGGGCAGAGCGAGGCAAGGAGTGGTGGAGCAGCATAGGGTAGAGTAAGGCAAGGTAGGGCAAGGATGGATAGAGTAAAGCAGGGCAGCGTGAATAAGGCAGGGTAGTGCAAAGAGATGCAGGGTAATGCAATGCCGGGTTGGGACAGGGCAGCCTAAGGCAAGGCATGGCAGGGTAAAGAAAGGCAGGGCGATGCAAGGCAGTGCAGCGCAAGTCAAGGTACGGCACAGCAAGGCAAGGTAGGATAAAGAGGGGAAGACCAAGGCAAGGCAGCTCAAGGAGAGTCAGGGTACCGCAAGAGAAAGAGGAAGAGGGCAGCGTGAGGGAAGGCAGGGCAGCGTAAAAAAAGGAGGGTAGCGCAATGCAAGGTTGGGGCAGTGCGAGGCAAAGCACCGAAGGGAGGGGCAGGGCAAGGAGAGGTAGAGCAAGGCAGGTAAAGGAGAGACGGAGCTCGGCAATTTAGGGCAGCGTACGGCAAATCGAGAGCCGCAAGCAGGGTAGAGCAAGGCAAGGTCGGGCAAGGCAAAGCAAGGAGTGGTAGAGCAGCGCAATGCAAATACCGTCAGGGCAGAGCAAGGATGGTTAGGGCAAGGATGGATAGAGCAAAGCAGGGCAGCGTGAGGCAAGGTAGGGCAGCGCAAAATGGGGCAGGGTAGTGCAATGCATGGTTGGGGCAGGGCGAGTCAAGTTAGGGGCAGCGCAAGGCAAGGTGGTGAAGTGAAGCGCAGGGCAATGGGGGCAGAGTAGCGTTTGAGAAGGCAGAACAGCGCAGAGCAAGGAGAAGCAATGCGGTGCAAGGCAGTGCAAAGAGGATCAAGGCAGGGCAGCGCACCTCAAGCAGGGCGGATTGTGTGGCAGGGCAGAGCCAAGCAAGGAGTGGTAGAGCAGCGCAAGGCAAATAGGGCTAGGTCAATGCAAGGCAAGGTAAGGCAAAGATGGTTAGACCAATGCATGGGAGCGCGAGGCAAAACAAGGTGCAAGGAGGTATAGTGTAGAGCAAGGTAAGGAGGCTCAGGGCGGGACAAGCCAATGCATGGCAGGGCAAGGAGAGGTAGAGCAAGGCAAATTAGGGCAGCGTACGGCAAATTGACGCGCAGGGAGGAGCACGGTAGCGCAATGTAAGGATACAGGGCAGCGCAGTTCAACGAGGGGCAGGGCAGCGCTAGGCAAGGTAGAACAGGGAAAGGAGGGCAAGGCAGGTTAGAGCAAGGCAAGGTAGAGCAGAGCAAAGCTAGGTGTGGTAGAGCAGCGCAAGGCTAGTAAGGTCAGGGCAGAGCAAGGCAAGGTAGGGCAGTGCAAGGAGGGACAGGGTAATGCAATGCGAGGTTTGGGCAGCGCAAGTCAAGGTAGGGTAGCGCAAGGCAAGGTAGGGCAAAGAGGGGAACACCAAAGCAGGTCAGCACGAGGCAGTACAAGACAGCGCATGGAGGGGCAGGGTACCGCAGTGCAACGAGGGGCAGGGCATTGAGGGGTATATCAAGGCAGTGCAGCGCAAAGAGGGAGATGATAGTGCAATGCAACCTGGGGCAAAGCAAGGAGGGGCAGAACAGCGCAAGGCAAGGAAGGCCTGGACCGGGAAAGGCAGAGCAGTGCAAGGCAAGGTAAAAGGGCAAGGAGAGGTAGAGCAAGGCAAGTGAAGGAGAGGTAAGTCAGGCAGCGTACGGCAAATCGGCAGCGCAAGGAGGAGCAGGGTAGCGCAAAGCAAGGATGCAGGGCAGCGCTAGGAAACACGGAAAGGAGGGGCCGCACGAGGCAGTAAAAGGCAGTGCAAGGAGTGGCAGGGTACCGCAAGGCAAAGATGGGCAGTGCATTGAGGGGTAGAGCAAGGCAGTGCAGCGCAAAGAGGGACAGGATGGAGCAATACAAGCCTAGGCAAAGCAAGGAGGGGCAGGGCAGCGCAAGGCAAGGTATGTCAAGGAAGGCCTGGGCAGGGCAAAGCAGAGCAGAGCAGTGCAAGGCAAGGCAGGGCAAAGAGAAGTAGAGCAAGGCAAGTGAAGGAGAGGTAACTCAGGCAGCGTACGGAAAATCGGCAGCGCAAGGAGGAGCAGGGTAGCGCAAAGCAAGGATGCAGGGGAGCACAGGGCAAGTTAGGGCAGTGCAAGGTAAGGCAAGAGGGGCAGGGCAGCACAAGGAAACGTAGGGCAGCGCACGGAAGGAGTGGCAGGGAAGCGCAAGGCAAGGTAGGGCAAGGCGGGGCAGGGTAGCGCAAGGCAACGTGGGGCAGCGCAAAGCAAGGGAAGGCAGCGCCAGTCAAGGCAGGGTAGGCTAAGGAGGGGCTAGGCAGAACAAGGCAAGGAGGGGCTCGGCAGGGTAGAGCAAGGCAAGGTAGGGCAGAGCAAAACAAAGACTGGTAGAGCAGAGCAAGGCAAAAAGGGCTAGGGCAGCGGAAGGCAAGGTAGGGCAAGGAAGGGTAAACTGAGACAGGGCAGCGCGAGGCAAAACAGGGTAGGCGCTAGGATTGTCAGGGTAGCGCAAGGCAAAGAGGGGCAGGGCATTGAGGGGTAGTGCAAGGCAGGACAGCGTGAGGCAAGACAGAGCAGCGCAATTGAAGGTAGGGCAGCGCAAGGCAAGGAGAAGAAGGGCAGCGCAATGGAAGGATGATCAGGCAGCGCTATGGAAAGAGGATCAGGCAGCGCAATTCATGGAAGCGCAAGGCAAGACATGGCAGAACAAGGAGAGGTATAACAATGCGGGGCAGCGCAAAGAGTGTCAAGGTAGCACAAGGCAAGGCGGGGCAGCCTAAGGCAAGAAATGGCAGGGCACGGAAGGTCAGAACGGGCAAGACAGGGCAGCGGAAGTCAAGGTAGTGCAGCGCAAGGCAAGGAGGAGAAAGGCAGCGCAATGGAAGGAGGATCAGACAGCGCAATTCATGGCAGCCCAAGGCAAGGCATGGCAGGACAAGGAGAGGTGTAACAATGCGGGGCAGTGCAAAGATTGTCAGGGTAGCGCAAGGCAAGGCAGGGCAGCGCAGAGCGAGATAAAATGCAAGGCGAGGCAGGGCTAGGCAAAGAGTGCCAGGGAAGTGCATGGCATTGAGCGTCAGCTCAGCGTAAGAAAAGGCAGTGCAATGCCGAGCAAGAAAAAGGGCGAGGCAAGACAGGTCACGGAGGAGCAAGACATGGCAGCGCATGACAAACCAAGGCAGCTTGAGGTGCAAGGTAGCGCAAGGTAAGGCAAGGAATGGCATGACAGGGCAAAACAGGGCAGCGCAAGTCGAGGTAGGGCAGCGCAAGGCAAGGAGGAGAAGGGCAGCGCAATGGAAGAAGGAGAAAGGCACAGCGCAATGGAAGAGGAGCAAGCAGCGGAATTCATGGAATCGCAAGGCAAGGCATGGGAAAACAAGAAGAGGTATAACAATGCGAGACAGCGCAAAGAGTGTCAGGGTAGCACGAGACAAGGCGGGGCAGCCTAAGGCAAGGCATGGCAGGGCAAGGAAATTCAGGACGGGCAAGACGGCAGCGCATGACAAAGCAAGGCAGCTCGAGGTGCAGGGTAGCGCAAGGTAAGGCAAGGAAGGGCATGACAGGGCAGCGCAAGTCAAGTTAGGGCAGCGCAAGGCGAGGAGGAGAAGGGCAGCGCAATGGAAGAAGGAGAAGGGCAGCGCGATGGAAGGAGTATCAGACAGCGCAATGCATGGCAGCCCAAGGCAAGGCATGGCAGGACAAGGAGAGGTGTAACAATGCGGGGCAGTGCAAATTGTCAGGGTAGCGTAAGGCAAGGCAAGGCAAAGCAGGGCAGTGCAAAAAGGGGTAAGGTAGCGCAGTGGAAGGAGGGCAAGACAATGAGGAAAAGATCAGATTAGGAAAAAGCAGGGCAACGTAGAGCTAGGAGAAGCCGGTAAGGCGGGACGAGGCAAGGCAGCTTAGCGCAAAGATAGGAGAGACAAAGCAGAGCGAGGAGGGGTATGATTAGTAAAAGCATGGCAGAGGAAAGCAGCAAGCAAGAGCAAGGCAGCCCAGAGCAAGACCGATCAAGGCGGTTTAATTTAAGGCAAGGCAGAGAAGCGCAAAGCAAGGAGCGGCCGGGCAGCGCAAGGAGAGGCACGGTAGCGCAAGACAAGGATGGAAGGACTAAGAGGGGAAGTGCAGCGTAAAGGAAAGCAGGGCAAGGAGAAGTCGGGATAGACAAGGAGTGACAAAGCAGGGCAGAGTCATGTAAGCGCAAGAAAAGACAAGGTTTTTTGAATTAGTTCATTGCTGGAGGGTCATCATTAAATACGTCGGCATACATTCCGAATGTTTTTTTTTAAACTTAATTTCTTCGGTATTGTATGGGAATGGAAAAAATCCCACTGGATTTTTTGACAAAGTCTGAGTCAGCCCCCAAAACCTCCTTAAATGTTTTTGTCAGTTCACACAACAAGTTTGGCTTAACTTTTAATTTTTTCGACAAAATTTGAATTTTTTTTGCTTTTTTTCTCATTCGTTTGTCGCCCATTTTCTCCGAAAAGTAGGGACCCTTTCTTTGAAAAATGAAGAACAGCAATCTTGCAGTCCTATAAAACTAGAACTTGAAAAATTCATAACTGTCTTTAATTTCGCATAAATTTGCTAACTAAATTATTGTTTGCCTATGTTATTTTGAGTTGTCATCTGCTAATTTTCATAATGTAGTTGTTATAATCTTTTACTTTTGCGTTGTTTAAATGTGTTGAAACAGTTACAAAAAGCTTTCAGATTATTTCTTTGTCAATTTCATTTTGGTAATTTCATTAATGTTGGTTCAATGAAAAACTAATTTTAAGTTAACAGATTGTTATGAAATTTTGCAAGGTGAAAAAAACTAACTCTCAACAACACATTTGTTTTTCATACCGTAAGACATTTCAAAAAAATGAGTATTTGAAATAAGAATAATATTTGAAATCGGCGCTTGTTATCGGCTCCAGATTTGATAAGATTTTTAATACTACGTTTAAATATTTATTGAACTTTAAAATTTTGAATTTGTCTTCAAATTATTTTTGGAAAAATTATCATTTTCAGTAATTTGATCTTTTTCATTTTTAAATAATTGTTTGGTTTTTTTAAAATAGAATGAAATTTTTGGGCTTTGTATTTCTATCTCCTCACTACTCGTTTTTTCATAAGTGTGAAGTTTAATAAATTGTTTCATCGCTTGTATTTTGATGCGTGTCAGAGAAGTTAAGTACATCAAATGGAGTCAAACTGCTGCGCCCCTGTGTTTATTACCTATGACATATTTTTAAATTGAAATTCAAAAGTTATTGTTATACTGACATTCAGAAAAGAAGACGCAGAAGAAGCAGAGTCTCCGTAAGCAGTCTTCCTAGAGCAGTCTCCGTAACAGACGCACTCAAAATGTATAAGTTGCAGAACCTTGCTATCTTCATAGTTTTAACATATATCTAGCTCGTCAAAATTGTCTCACTAAGTAAATGTTCTTCAGTAATTTACTAGATGTGAACATTAAAGAAAAAATGAACAAATTTTCGGAGGTTTTCTTGGTCATTGCCTTAAGCGATTGGAAAGATCAGCAATATTTCAATTAAAAAGGGTTGCTGAATTATGACGCTAAAGTCTATAAAAAAACGTTTGAGCATATTCGTCAACCAACTTTTCATAGTCAATTCAAGCAGAGTATAAATAAACCAAACAACAAACACTTGAAAATTAGCGGCCTTTATCAAAACATGTTATCTCAAACAAGCAATGTTCTAAAGCAAAATCAAAGTGCGATTTTGGAAACAAAATCAAATTGCGAAATCAAAATATCAAAATTACATTTAATTATAAAAAAGTGAAAGTCGAATTCGTGTTCAGTTCAGTTTAAATTAACTTGAACTGAAAAAGCTAATTGTATTACTGATAGTTTTATGAATAATGGCAATCGAAAACACGTTCAAAAGCAACTATTTGATGTATGTTGTTTTCTCTGAAACTGAAAAAAATAGTTAAAATTGAAAAAAATATATGTATTAAGTATTTTTTTGACCAATTCAAATTTGTCTGTTGAGAAAAAAACTTGCCTTGCTTGTAATTTCACCTTTAAATGTAAACTTGAAAAAAAAGAAAAATGAGAAGTAGACATACCTCCGTCTAATGAAACTTCAAAAATTCAGTTTGACTGACGGCAAAATTTTGTGCAAATTCTCGTCTATGCCATTTTTTAAAATTTTTAGGTAATCAACTTATGCCAATAATTTGGTTAATTTACCTGGTAATTCATTATCGGATTCTTCGTCACCAACTGCTGAGTTGTCTTCATTCTCTTCTGTATCATTCGGGACTAACGAGGTTTCTTCCAGAACAGCTTGTTTTCTGTGATCCTCAAATATCTGGCCATGTTTTTCAGTTATTTTGTCAAACTGGGCACCGATTTTGGCTTTCAATTTTATAACAGCGTCGACATTCTTCTGCATAGCAAGTTTAACTTCAGTTGAACTTTTTCTCAGATCAGACAAAACAAAAGTTTCTGTAATTTCTTTTTGCTTTTGTCGAAGTTTTTCGATGTCTTCTTGAATAAACTTGTACTCTGATTCCAACGTTTTTATTTGAGAGCACTCAGTTTTGTAGAGCCCAATTCGAGTTTCAATATCTTTTTCAGTTTTCAGGAGAACCGAGAAAGGCACAATTTCGTGGTTCTTTTTGTCTGAATGGTCTGATTTCCAACAATGTTTGCAAACTGATTCTTTGCATTTGTTGCAGAATAAATCGAGCTTCGCATTGTTGTGTCTCGGCTTTGAACATGTGTCAGAGTAGGTTGGTGAAATTGGTGACATAGGTGTTGCAGAAACTGAAAACGAAAGAAATTTGTTGAATACAATTTTTCAAAAAAAATCAAATTTTTCAATTACAAAAACAATGATTAAGAAAGAATTTGCGAAAGTTTTTTGCCATAATTTGGGCTTTTTCATGATAGTAAAAATCTGAACGAATTTTTTTTAAATTAAACTAGTGATCGCAAGTGTGTTTCAACTTGGTACTAGACTTTTTCCCATAATTAATTTAATTCGCAGGCCTCATCTTCTCATCTCCTCCGATAGATTCTGCAAGAAAAATATTTTGAGCATTTTGGCTTTTGTGTTATAGTTCTTTGAGAAATTTGCTATTAATGTTGTTCTTATTTTTATCAACTCGATTTTTTTTGTTTTTTTTCTTTTTTTTTCCTGTTTAATAGTTTTTATTTTTTTTACACGGGCTAATTGATCTATTTTTGAGTCGTTTGATGCTGTTATCTGCGTGTGTATAAGTGATTTTAGAAAAAAAGGACTTGAATTTTTTTTTAGATTTTAGGTCACCAATTTTTTTGAGCGTAATGGGGTTTTTGCTCGGTTAGCTTCCTTCGTTACCGCTCGATAATTTTTTCCGATCATTTTCTCTATTTCTACTGCCTTGGTTTTTTTATTCAAAACTAGTTTGTCCATATGATAGACCTAGTTTTTTAAAACAAATTCGTTTTTTTATATAATTTTTCGACTTTATTGTATTGTATTGCAAGTGGTTCGAAGCTCTTTTTTGTTGCTCAAGTGTACCGCAAGCGGGTCTAGAGCAATCAAAACTTGCAACTAGATGAACAAAGTTTTGATCTAGAAATTTGAAAATTGGAGTGAATTTTTTCTTTCCAACCAACCACTTTACGAAGTCAAGGAAGAGTTAGCTCGTAGGGTTTATTTGTTCTCAATTTCAACTACGAAAAAAAATGTGTTAATTTTGAAACGTAACAATTAAAACCAATTAAGGGTGAAAAGAACTGCCAAAAACTTGATAAATTGTGCCTAAATTCGGTTTAGAAGCAACATCTTTGAAAGCGGATATTTTCGTTTACCTCTTGAAGACGGGCGCGACTGGTATTCAGGAGGCAAATCGGTTGATAGATCTGGTTGTCCGTCAGCCAGATCCTCATGTGTGATCTTGCATCTGAAGTCCCTCTTGCTGTACTTACAATCGTCAACTGGACATCTGGGATTACTCTTTCCACAAATGGAAATAGCGCATTTGTTGCACACATAGTGTCCACAAGGCATCACTCGGCTACATGTCAGTTTGTTACCACAAGAAGGACATTCTCCTATGCTTTGAACGGACGAAATTGTCATTCTTGTTGAAAACCTTCTTGCAGTCATTCTCACAAGAGTTGGCTCTATGCATAAATATTCTCAATGAAATTTAATCGTGAAACGAGTTTAATTGGTTGCTGGGCTTTTTTTTACAGAAACTTCAGTTCATAATTGTTTTCATTAATAAAAATAATTCGAAAATCTAGACTTGAAAATTTTAGATGTTCTTAGGTGCTAATATAAGAACTAGAAAATTACATCTTTTTTATGGTCTGAAACATTGTTCAAAACATACTAATTGGATTAAAAAACAGAATTAAAAACAGATTAAACTGAAACTTTGGAAATCTTCGAGACACAATTGTCCCTTTTTGCTTTCATTCATCTAAAACAAAAAAAATTCGCACCGGTTTTTCTCAATTCCTATAAAGTCTTCAACACTGATCAAAAAGCGTATGATTTACCTTCAAAATACTATTTAACTTAAATGTCCTAACAAGATTGCTCGTATCAGGGCGAAGCATTTTAAGGTATATAGAGCAGCAATCACAAAACAAATGTAAATGTAAAAAAAAATATTGATTTTTTTTTGAAAGAATCAGCCCCTTCACGACATATAACGTTCAAAGTGATAGGTTTCGCTTCTAGTAATGAACCAAATATAGCTAATTTTGAACGATTTCCAAGACGGATTAAATCTCCGCCTACGCGTTCATAGAGAGAAATATATCGCGCGTTAATTTTCTCAAAATGGCAATCTTTAAACCCCCAAAACTTAACAAAAAAATCACAGGTGAAATATCTTTTCAAACTTAAGAACTTCAAACAATGAAAACTTTTGAATGATAGAAAAAAAAATTCCGTCAAAAGCGCCTAGTTAAAAAGTCGAAATTTGTCTGAAGGAAAACAAGCCCACCTCGAGCACAAATATTCCGTAACTTACGTTACGTTCCGTTACTTTAGTTATGTTAAGCACAAATATTCCGTTTCGCTATCCTTTATTACTTTATATGGCGTGAGGGAGAAAGATTTTGAAACAAATTGCGCTTGGGGGATGATTTTATATGGCGTGTGCACAAAAAATCTAAAACTAAAAAAATGCATTTTATTTTATAACATAATTTCTTATGTTATTAATGCTCCATAAACCGAAGAAGCAGTCGGAAGTTTCAAGGCTTTGCCCTAATACGACCAGCCTTGTTTTCAATTGAAATTTATTTGGACAAAAGCGTTCATGAAAGCTTACATTATACAAAATAATAATACTTAGAGTATTTACTTTTGTATTCTGATCTTTTTTGTTGGCACTTATGTGGAATTCTCAAAATGGTCAGTGAGATTAAAAGACTTTTACATGAAATTTTTTTAAACCTATTCTATATGGGAAAGTGCGTGATGCGACAATTCGCAGCAAACAAAGTTTTGTCCCAATTGAGAATTCCCGACAGCAAGCGACCATTCGTTGCGGGCGAAAATTAGATGCTGGAGAAAAGTTTGATCACGTCAAAAAATTAAAATGAAAGGTTTCATAAAAGGAATAAATGGAAATAGAAATGTCGCGAAAACTAGCCAGTGTTCATTACCAAGGCTCTGTATCAATAAAACTTTGAAAGGTGCCAAAACTTTGCTAATTTCAGTTTTTAAAATTTTTGATGGAACACGATCTAGAAAAAAATATGAATATTACCACCGAGCAGCGGACCTACTGATTTGGTTAGTTTTTGCCACCAAAGACATTTCACTTATAAATTTAATCATATTAGCCTGAGGCATTTTTGACTGCTATCTGGATTTGAACTACCTTTTTTATTCTCACTTTGGGGTGAAACTGGAATTGACAGAAGATTATGGCGTTGAATTTTGCAAAAAATTGGACTTAATCTTTACAGAATTGAAAAAGAAAACTGAAAATATCACAAGACAGAAAAGAGGTACAAAAAACTTGATACAATTCTCGATCGAACATGGATTGCTAAAAAAAATTTGCAACTAACAAAAATTACTAGCAAAGACTAGAAAACGTTATTTGATTTAATTTAAATTCCACTTATTCATTTTATAATATCTAACGTGTTCATCTCAATTTAATAAAAAATTAACTATTTGATCGAGACTCAATTTTAAAAATCCTGATTGGAAACTCACAATAGTGAAAACTAATAGTAATTTCGCATCAAAAAATGTTTCTTAAAATTTTATCTCTAAGTCCAGTAACATCAGGTCACATGGAAAGATAGGACTCCAAAATGAACCTGGGAACTTCCATTGGACCCTTCAACTTAGGCCATATCAATCATATTGAAATCGGCGTCTTGTTATGAAAATTTGGTTTACCTCTCGATGGTGGGCGGGATTTGTACTCAGGTGGTGCAGCTGATGACATTTCTGGTTGCCCGTCAGCCAAATCTTCATGGGTGAATTTGCGTCTGAATTTCGTCTTGTTGTATTTGCAGTTTTCAACTGGACACCTTGGATTGCTCATGCCACTTATTTTGATAGCACATCTATTAGACGAGTCTGGACCGCAAACATAGTGTCCGCATGGCAACACGCGGCTCTCTTTCAATTTTTCACGGCATGCTGGACATACTCCAAAAATGGGTTGGTTTTCCTGGCTGTAGCTGGAAGAGGGCCCAGCTGCCGACGAGGAGCCGAATTCCATTTTAGGTTCACATCCCAGTTGAATCTATAAACATAAACTGCTTAAGTTTAATTCGTTTCCAACTTTGTTTTCAATGGTATCTAAATGTCTAGCATGCCATTACATCAGGGTTAAATCAGGCTTTTAAAATTGCAACAAATTTCAACTTTTAGCACAATATTTTTATGAGGTAATATATTATGGTGACGAAATTTGAAATCACTTTTGAGGAATTGAATCATTGACGATTAATTCTTAAATGAAGAGAACAAAATTTTAAGGTAGGAATCCCCGTTATTGTAGTTAATTTGATTTGAACTTTATCATTGATCAATAAAATTTATCAGTGAGTTTGAGATAATTAATTTTGAAGTATAAATTTTCAAAAAAAGTCAATTTAATGCAATTTGTTGCATCTAAAATAGCATCTATATTGCTGAAAAATTCAATTGCTTGTTTCTTGCAAAGTCAAGTTTACACGTAGATCAATTTATCATGTTTGGAAAAAGTCGCAAAAACATCATGCAGAAAACCGTTTTATTGTTAAACTCAGGCGACCTTCGAGCAAACACTTGCGCCTTTGCAATGTAACGCGTGTCGAGTTTTTTGGAAAAAAATCAAAACTCAGCTTCAGTTTTGAACTCAAACTCGGTTCCATGAAAACATTTTGGTTGAATTTTTCGCCTGTTTCCTCCGGTTGCTTTAATTTATTTAATTTTTTTATTGAAAAATATGCTTCTTTTTTAGCCATAATATTAGGTGTATAGGAAATCAGAAAAATCTACACGCTTCTCCGTCAAAATGATCAAATTCTTACCTGTTTATTACGAGAGGTGATAAACTTTGAGTATCATTAATTAATTTCTACAGTCAAAGTACAAGAAACGTTTCATTACACGTGCTATAACTTTGATTCATCCTTTAATGAGCATATATAAAACCAATAATCATGTTCAATGTATAAAAATGTACCTAGCAACTAAACGTACGGTTCAAAAAAGATCATATGGTTAGTTGTAACATTCTTTTGAAAGAAAATGAATCTATGCAGGTGGCCATTTTAAATGAAAAATAAGTTTTATGCTTGAGTTTTGTTTTAGAATAGAAGCAAAATTAAATTTTGCAAAAAACCGTGAGCTAACATAATTTATATTCCAAATTTCATTTCGTTAAAATTAAGCCGCAGTGGTGGCTTTTATAAGATTTTGTGTATAGATTAATCAATGTTTGAACAAACGTAAAACTTTTAAATAAAATGGCTCTGTATAAAAACTCCAAAACTTTCGCTTAGATCAAAAATTTAGCTCAGTTTATAAAACAGATACAATCTGTTATGAGTGAAAGTAAAGCTATGGTGGTGGCCATATCATTTGCATGTTTTGTTTGATTCAATTTTATACTTTGAGAAAAGTTCAATAAATTTTGCAAAAAACATGGGCTAACTTGATTTGTATTCAAGATGAAAATAAAGCTGCGATGGTTATCACATTATGAATAAATAAATAATTTAAACGAACATGCTTGAGCAAACTTAATAGAGAGAAAAAACTTATAACAGCTGGAAACGCAGATAAAACTTATTAAACGTACGCAATCTCTCTAATGAATAAATCACAACTATGGTATTGGTATAAAGTAAAATGTAAAATTTATATTCGTTCAAGATTTGAAGTATGAAGAATTTTCACAGTAAACTTTGCTGAAAAGTCGTAATTTCGTCTGTTTTTTTGAGTTTGCATTTCCTCTACAACATTACAAATATTCCAATGATGATGGTCTTATGGTATGAAAAAGTAAATGAGCAAGTTTGAATTACTACAATGCAACCATTTTTTCGCCATACAATTTCTAAACAGATATTCTGCTCTTATACAGAAAAAAAATATATTAAACACCCATATTGCTTTTCCCTGATGAACTTTGTTTTCCAGACTGTCCAGTTTATAAGTCAGATAAAAATAGGAATTCATCCAAAAACTTAAAAATTGTCAGAAAAAAAAATTTTCCTGCTTATTTCTGGTACCAATCCCATTTTAGAACACCTCTGGACATTTTATAAATTTTTTAAAGTAGATTGATTTTTGAGGTTATGGTCCCGCACATGGAATATAATTGATTACAATAGATTCCCGAGACACAAAAAAATCCATGAGTATCCCTTACAGGTGAATTTCAGACCACTAAACTGATTATATTTCCATTGTAATTGAAAATTTTTGAAAAAAAAAATTCAATATAGTTCATTATAATGGATTATAACTTTTTTTAACTCCAAAATTGATAATTCTTGCAAATATTTTGCCAATTTTTTCAAGAATATCTAGTCAATATCTCTAAGTGTGTGGGCTAATAATGATCTTGATGAAATTTTGTTTAATCTTTCTCCCCAAAATTAAGTTGGGTAAGATAATCTGGTTTTTATTAAACATTGTGGGAGGGGATAGAATGAAGTGTGTGTGTGTGTGTGTGTGGGGGGGGGGGGAGGATTAAACTCGAGGTAGTGAAATGAAGGTAGAGGAGGTGAGTTGAATGGTGAAAATAGTCGGTACAAAAAGTCGCAAAAAGCGGAAAAATTTAAAACTTTTTTGAAAAGTGTTGGAAAAATTGAGAAAATTTTATAAAACCCAATGTGAGTTTTCTAAAATTTAAATGTATATGTGGCAACTGCACCAAACAAGAAATCAGATAATTTCAAAACAAATTTGTACGTTTATCAGTGATCTCCAAAAAAAAAATCCGTTATAGTCAATTAAAATGGATTTTTTTGACCTTATTAATCTTAGGATTATAATCCAATTTTAATGGATTATTATGGTTTAAATATTTCCTAATCTTAACGATACTGACAATATAATCACAACATAATCAATTAAAATCAATGGACTCTCGGTGCGGGATGCCGAAGCAATTTAATCTAATTATATATATATATTATGTGGGAGCTGGGGGATTTGATAACTACAAGAATAGAAATACTAAAAAAAATTATATGTCTTAAAGGGAGGAGCCAAAAGAAGACTGCCATCAACCAAAAAAACAGAAAATTGGGGAGAAAAAATGTTTTTTTATCTCCAAGCATGAAAAAAAGAATTCATAACCTAGTTGCAATTTGGATGTTCCGCCTCTCAATATCTTGGCGTTTCTCAATATCAGCAGATTTTTCCACAAAAAAACTGAAAAAGTGTTAAAAGTATATCTATCATGAAATTGATTGGAAATTCGATTTATGTGAGAAGTATGAATCTTCATCACATGGCAAGCACGGGAATGTTGTTTTTCTGTGAGTTTTAAGGTCAATCCAAACATGTCATGAGCATTACAAGGATCCCAAGCAATTTATAAGAAGAACGTTTTTCATATTTTATTCAGAGTAAGGTTCTCATCAATATTCGGGGCTCATAATATATCAGTATTCGAGGCTATAATTTTTCATCATTACACATTATCAACGGCAGCAATAAAGTTTTCGCCAAAAGGAGACAAAATGGTTCTAAAAAAAGAAGTTCTCTAATATTTTAAAAGCAATTTAACAATGAAGCGTTAAGCATACATTCTGCCTTCGATATGCCCCAAACTCAGGTTCCCAAACATCAAAATTTCCATAATTGCAAATTTGACAGTGATTTTACTGGACATTTTCCCGTCAAATGGATGAATTATTGAGTCTTTTTTTTGAAGAGTTGTACAGACTTACATGATTTTCACTATTTTTTTTTCAAAAGCGTTATAACTATTTTTAACCTGTGAAACACCTGTGTAAAGAAAATTAAAACAAACCTGAGGGACGAAGTTTTGTCTGAGTTTAGTAATTTCCCTGACCGCTGGATGATTTAACGAATAATATTTGTTAGAACCAATGAAAACTATAAACACTCTCGAAAAAGACAAATACTTAAATCGCTATTTTGTTCATTCTTGAACAGCAATATTAAATTTTCACCGGTTTTCATATGACTGTAAGCATTAAATTATGTGTTTAGCAAGTTAAGAATTGGTCATTTTAAAACAGCACAAAAATCATTTTTTTCTCTGCTCATTTGTGTTTATTAACCGCACGTGTTGTTTTAAAGCTCAAAAAGCACATATATAAAATTCGAAGCTTTGCTTTATTGTGACCAGAGAAAAACACAACTTTCAGTTTTGTGCCTTCTAGCAAAAAAAATTAGATCATATGATTTTGCTGTTTTCATTTTTCAGCAAGATCATATTGCAATCTTTTTTGCTGCTGTTTGAGGTTTATTAGCATCCTGAGATCAAAAATTTGAAAAATGTTCTGTTCATTTGAAAAAATTTATGAGAGTTTGAAACTTTACCAATTAGTCTCAATTCGGAAACAATAGAGCTCGTTTCAGATTTTTATAATGACGAGTGGAGAATATCTCAAACCAGTTTTGCTCAGATATCATTCCCAACGGAAAGATACAAGCTAAAAATCATTGTGTCCTAATTTATTGTTAAATGTACGCAGATATCTGTTAATTTTGTGTAAGCGTTTGTTCCAGTTTTGATGAAAGTTGTAGTTGTTTTTTTTTGAACCTAGGTATCAAGTTTCTGATTTTTAGGCGCTCTGGAATTTGTGTTGCGATTAGTTTCAGATGAAAAACGTAGTAAACGACAAAAAGGCATATTGTTTTCTTATGACTCTTTTAAAAGTTTTACAATTAGCTTAGTATGACAGTCTAATTGGTGAACATTTTTCAGGGGAGCCTAAAAATCTTGGAAAAAGTATACAAATCAAACTCTTACGAGAAAAGACAAAACTGATTGATCTATCAAAGAAAAGCCATTAAAATATAGTTGAATGTTCTTGTCAACATGTTGATCCCTTAAACCAAAATTAGTTGATTTTGAGAAATTTGTCTATGTTTTTTTACTTCAGGGGATGAACCAAGCGAATGGAAAATTTGAAGTAAGGCGAGGTAATAAGACTAGTAGAAACTTAAGCACTCATTTGTTAGGGTAAAAAAAAACATTACTAAGTGCCGTATAGCTAATAACTGCAAAATTTTTTGCTTTGAAACTTGCTAAAGCAAGGCAATTACTTGGAAAAAATTTAAGCTGAAGAAGCTTTAGGTTTAAAACTTGGTTACAAGCACGAACTTGATCAAAACTAAACAATTGTGAAAGCAGCGCCTGTGTTGCGAAAACCCTTCAATGAGAAACGAACGCCTCAGTTTTCGCAATAAAACATCTGATTAATTTCTGATAAATAGTTAGCAAAAAGCCTGTGTGACTGAGAAACTGTCAGAACTCCTTGAATGTTTTTTGATAAAAAGAGTGAAACGACTTATACGAAACTCATTTCAGGTTTTATTAATCGAAAAATTTCCAAATCTAAGAGGTCTTACAATTTGCTCTGATGAACTTAAAGCTTGGATCCACTTAGCTTCAGATATAGCAAAAAGGGTTCGGCAACTTTTAGATGTGGTTCGCTTATCTAATTTTTTTTTATTTTCAATCAATTTTTATCCATCTTTTTTGTGATAACAAATTTGCGCGATACAGATAACAAATTTGCCTGAGAACAAATTTGCGCGATACAGAAATTTTTCTGGTGTTTTTTCTTACTAAAAAAGAATCTTTCTGATGATCAAAAGGAGGAAGTTATTGAAAAAACGAACTTGAGGTCGATATAAGATTCTATACTTCTCGGCTTGATATACGATCTTGCAGTTTGTTTACTCATATTAAAAACAATTTGAGCCTTTAAGCAAAAATTGTTTTGCTTTTTCTGTTTTTCTCTCATCTTGAGAACTAAAAAAAACATACAAGTATGTAAGAAAAGAAAACAAAAAAGGCTCGTGGTTCCTTCTGAAGGAAACTAGTTTCAAAAAGTTAAGAGAAATCGAAAATGTAATTTGGAGATGTTCGATCAATTTGTTTTTCCACCAGCATTGAAATTTGAAACACGAATTAAAAGTGAACAATATATTTTTCTGGTAAACGATTAGTTTGCTTGTCTTTCTGTTATTTTTATCAATAAAATTGCAGAGCCGTTTTCATCAAAAACGACAAAAAGTGTATTTAGAACAAATTAATTTTTTATTTTCTGAAGTGCAACCACAAAATTATTCGGCAAAAACATTCAAAATAAAACCAGAACGAGAAGCGTTTCCGGACTCAAAAAATATTCAATCTGAATGCTTTGAAAAAAAGCACCAAGCATTTCCAAAACGAAGCAATTTTTAAAGTTTGTTAGCATACCTATATCCAAAATTTGAGATTTTTTTTTTGATTCTAATGAATTGTTAAAAACTAAAAAAAAGCGTTGTATCGGGTTCGTCGCCTTGGGTGAACAGATTGATCACAGACCAATCTCAGGTATTTAAAAGCCGCGATTGAGCTTTGAGAGTTAGATTTTTGTAAACGATATGAAATAATCTACGGTCAAATTTCACATTTGATAAAAAAACCTTATGTTTCATTAAAATTGGAAAATCAATTGATCGAAATATAAATCTGAAGAGAAAAAATCGAATTAAATCAGAGTGAAACACTAGCATAAAACGTGTCTGCATAATCACTTTGCATTTTTTGACATGTCAGTACAATACTTTTTAAACAGAAATTAGTTCATGTCAACCCAGGAATGCTAAGCTTCAAGTTTATATTATAAAGCTTGAATCTGGTGAAAATTGCAATTCATTTAAAGGCAATTTTTGTGTTATGAAAAACGTCCGATTAGGATTAAATTTCTAGGCTACACTTGTAATCGGATAATTAAACGCTCTCCTAAAATCTTCAATTTTTGGATATCAGATTTATTTTGTAGGATTCACGTCAGTTGCCAGGTCCATCAAAGTCTTGAAACTTTCTTTCTTTTTTCCTTAAAAACTTTCTAATCAGACACAAAACATTCTCAAATGGAGAAGTGAAATTAGAGGGTTTGATAGGAGATCGAAACTTTTTCATAGCTAATAGTTTTCAGATATCAAACCAAGGCAACATATTTGAAATTTTCTGGGTCCAAAGTTCAGTAAAAATCCAAATCAGGATGATACAGTTAAGCATGCCCCAGTATTGCAAGAGATCAGAAAAAAAATTTATAAACAAAAAATTGCTTCAGTAGAATTTTTTTCTCACTGGAACACCAACCCCATTTTTAAAACTCAATGGGAATCAAGTTTATGCCGCGCCCTTAATTTTTGTGTTAGAGTGTAGTTTGCTTTCTATAAGGCAATTAAAATTGAGGTGAACTTCAAAAGAAAACAAACGCAATGGTGACAAAAATTAATTGCCACGACGTGATCAACTGTTAATTATAAAAAAAATTGCAAGAACAAAATTTGCGTCTTCACTTAGTTCATTGAAAAACGAAACAGATAACTGAGTAAAAATCTAGTGAAAAAATGAAAACATTAAAGCGACTGCAAATATTTTCCTTTTTTAACATAATATCAGAATTTATTGAAAGCTTCAATTTAAAAACCTCGCAAATTAAGAATTTTCTCTACTCTGCTCAAATAGGACAATTTTTATTCTGTACGCTTTCTTCCTGTCTGTGCCAATTTCGTTTATCTTATTCATTTTTATATGTCAATTTAAACGCTGAAAACTTTTTTCATTATAAATACTTATTTGCATCGAATACTAGATTTTCTCCTGCTAAACAATCTATGGTCTAGGCTAGCAAAATTTGCCTCGTCAGTGTTTCTCATACATTGACAAAAAACAAGGAACATTTTCTATTTGCAAATTTTCAATAAATAAATTGATATATAAATTCAAAAACAACTTTCAGGGCTCTTGATTGAATATAACATCAAATCTACGAAATTTGTATCTTTCTAATAAAATTCTGATATCAAAGCTTTACAGCAATTTTTGCAGCATGTATATTATTCATTTCAATTATTTTTTTCCTACTTATAAGTTTCCAAAACGTTTTTATTCAGGCTGAATTTTCAATGGAATAAACCCATGTGACCTTTTCTCGCACTTGCCCCCCCCCCTCCCGCCTCCCCACCCATACTCAATAGAATTTGCACACTTTTGGACCAAAGTAAGTTTATACCTAAATGTTTTGCCTTCAAATAGTACTTCAGTTAATGACCCCCCCCCCCCCTTCCTTGATCGCCGAAATATCCTTGCCTCGATACTGGGTGAAATGAACAACTGAATGCGAATCCTTTTGTAAAAAAAGTCATTTCATTGATATTTATTATAGATTCGTATAATTTTGTTTTTTGATTTTTTTTGTGATAAAAAGAACAAACAAGTCTTCTCATTACGAGGCCAAACTGCTCACTGGATAGACGAGGTGCAGTTTTTGGTGTGTTTAGATCACTGGAACCCAAGGACAAGTCTTCAAACATGATAAAAAATTGTCGGCTCGATCATAAAAAGATCAAAGCGAGCGGCCTTATTGAGGATTTTGATGACAATTCTCATAATATAAACATATTAAAATAAATATGCATATACACAGGGTCGAATCGCCAAGAGGGGGGGGGGGTCGTCCGACAAACCTCTCTTTCTACCCCCCCCCCCTAAATCCGCTGGTGCCGTTTGGCTTCGTAATTCAGTTTTTTTGTTGGGTATTGTAGTTTTTTTTGATATTTCAATGTAGAGTTTTCAGGTTCTGCAGCAGTAGTTCACAGGACTGGACAGAATGAGTTTGGTGAGTTTGATGAGTTCTTGTCTGTAGAAGGAATTGGCGAATAAGTAGACCACCGGGTTCAGCACAAAGTTCAGACAATAGGTCAAATAGGTCACCAATTTCAACTCCATACTCACCTGAAAAGAAAATGTATGAACGAAAACTGAATAAATTGGATTCAACTAAAATGTCAAAAAAACTTTCATCTTTTTTAAAATGAAACAAAAATCAGGAAAAAACCTATTTTGATGAAAAATCAGATTTTAAGAAAGCCTATTAAAACTGCGGTAAGATTTTGAACAAAATTGGTTCACCTAAATGTCAAAAAACGCTTCGTGTCAAAAAGCGCTAGTCCTAACCCTAAAATTTATAAATGTACACTCAAAACCAAACATGTTATGATACCATCTTTTTCGTGTAATTTATATATAATTTAAACATGTTTTACCCGTTGCCTGACATGGCTAACAATGTTGTCTCTTAAATATGATTACCTGTGGCCTGGCATGGCCTAGAATGACGGGTACGTTCTCGTACATTTCCACACAAGTGTATGGCAGAGTGACCACAACGAACACTATGCTCACAAAGAACAGAGTCATCGTCACTCGCTTCTGTCTGTTTGCTCTACTCTTCATTGCCTTTGTCACCTAAAAAACAAAAAGAGAAAAATATACTTGTTTAAATTTACAGTTTTTTTTTTATTTTTTACAGCTTCTGTAAAAATAACAACAACAGTATTTTTCTGATTTCAATTTTCATTGCCTTTGTAGCCTGAAAAAGATATCCAAATGATCGCACGGAAAAAAAACACTGAAAACAAATTAAACTTTCCAAATTTAAATTATAAATGCATGCCTTTAAAGCTTTATTAATTAATAATTGGTAAAACTTGTTTGGTGGGAAATCTGATACTTTAATTGCGTTTTCAAAGTTAGAAGTCAGTCACGTTTTTCATGACTCTTACTTCTTTTCCGTTCGATAGTGGAGTTTCCCTTCCTTTTAAAAAAGGAAACGAACTGAACTTAAGAAACAATCAAAAGTCAAACTGCCAAGAAGAAAATTTCAGGCTGAATAAATTTTAAGATTTTGCTAAAAAAGACAAAAAAAATCAGTGCGACCCATAAAAGACTCTAGGTTCGTCGCTCTTTAAAAAAACGATATAAGCTATCGTGGATTACATTGATCGAGAAATGGTTAAAAGCAAATCCAATTTGATGTTTTATAATCGATCATTTTAAATTTTATAGATACCAACTATTGAATGACAATATGATCGATTCTAATCGATGGGTGCTCGATGCTGACAAGTATTGCCGGAGAATGGTCATTTCTATTGACTAGAATTTGCTTCAGCACTTACTTTTTTCTTTGTGATCCAAACCAATTAACAAAATCCATTTTTGTAAAGGAAACTATTGTTTTTGTCATTTTTACAATAATTTTATAAGCGATTATTATCCACCCAACCCCCTGCTGCCCAACTTCTCCCAGAGAGTTGTTCGATAAAGGGTAGAAGGAAATAAAAAACTCACTCCAATCCCCACAAGATAATTGAGATAATTTTAAAAGTCGCTGGGAAGAAAGAGGATCGCAACTTGTGCTTAGACCTAACGTGAATGAATAAAGTCGATTCATAAAGTTGTTAAACACAGAAATAAGTAAACATATCCAAGAGTCACTAGGAAAAAAGTCAATGAATCCAAGTAAACAGAAAACTACACCTTGTGAAAAAACCTCATCAGTCTTTTTTCAAGGGACAAAATTAGATGACCTTAAAGCTTTTTGATTTTCTGGAACAATTTATGAATGAGTTTTTTCGATTAAAGTGACCCAATCTGAGAAAATTGGATTAATAGCTAAATTTTTTCTTTAGATGGAAAATTCTATAATTAAATTCCATTTTCGAAACCAGAAGTCAATCACGTTTTTCGTGGTCTTTGCACTTTCACTTTTCAATAGAGGAGTTTCCTTTTCTTTTAACAAATAATATTCAACTGAACTTAAAAATAAATCAAAAGTCAAAACGTGAAAAACGTCAAAATTGAGCGCACACAAATTTTGAGATTTTTTCCTAAAAAGCACAAAAAATCATCACAACCTATATAAAAGGCTTCATTGCGTTCATTACTTTTTAAAAGAAGCAAAAGGGTTTTCTTTTTTTTTTTTCATTTCTTCCGTCACCTAAGTTTTTTTCTCCAGCTATTTAGTATATTCGTGACAACATTTTGTTGTTTTATTTTCATTGAATCCGTCATCTGAAAAAAATAAGAAAGATTAGAAAATTATGTTGCGCATAACAGTTTTTTCAATGCTTACAAACTCTTTTACTTTAAAGCAAAAAACTTTTTTTTCTTTTGTCACATGGAAAACAAATGTTTTTTTTCAAAATAAATTCCCATAAATTTAAAGTGACGAATTCTTTTTGAATTAAGTTTTTGTAGCTTTTGCCTACATATATTCAGAAAAAAAAGAAGTATATTTGTTTTCAGTAATGTTTTGGCTTAATTTTTGTGGATTAATTGAACGACTTTTTGTCTATCGAGGAGATATTGAGGGAGAAAACGCCGGAAAAAAAAACAATTTTTTGGCAAAACTTCCCAACAAGTTTCTCAAAACGCCTCTTTGCCTGCTTTTTTGCTGAATTTGGTTGCAGCGGGAAAAAGTCGTATAATACGGGCTTTTTAAAGAGCTAATGAAGTTGAATGACTTTCAAAATCTTCCTTCTTGTGAAAATTTGAAACTTTCATCGTTTTATTTGCCCTAATCCACCGGAGAAACAACGCAAAAAATTCACAATAACTCTCTGTAAAGCACTAAGATACCGTCAACCCCAATTAATCTTTTTTTTTACAATTTATAGAACATTTTAAAATTTTTATCTTAATTTTTTCGACAAACCTGTGGGGTGGCGTTTGGAGTACCAACAACCGTGGGTGTAGGACTAATCGTGTTCAGGGCAAATGACTCTTGAGTCGACGGATTTTGATTGCAGTTCTGAACAGTAAGCAAACTGCTCTTGCTTGCGCATTGGTTCATCATCTGATGAGTCATGGTGTTAGTGCTTAACTTTACGTCTTTTTTGGTTTCTATTTTTGAAGTTTCTTTTTCGCGTTTTTTCTTCTCCATCTTAGAGATTTTAAATTTTTTCTTGGTTTTATTTTGGGTTTCAATACAATTCTTTGACGGTGAGTTAGGGACGTTACTGTTACAAGCCGGAAGTTTTGGATCTTCTTTCAAAACTAAATTGGACTTAGAGTTTAAAGAATACTGTGGTTCTTTTGCTTCAATATTTGATTTGTTTTCGTTTTCGACCGTTGTTGTGGGCTTGAGTTTTGGATGATTTTCTGATGATGATGATTGATAGCTAAAATCGTTTTTGCAGTTTTCTTGACTGTTTTTATAATCTGACAGCATAGGCTGAAGTTCTTCGTTTTCAATATCCTTTTCCGCTATTTCCTGGTCGCTGTTATCTTTTTTGGTCGAATCGCTGTTGCTCTGGAACTCTGGCTCACAAATGAAAACTCTAAAACAAAAAAAAATATTTGATTTAGAAATTAAAAATTATAATTTAATTGTTTAAAAAAAAAAAACAAACGAAAAGTTGAAAGCCTTTTACCAGTAGCGGATTTAGGTAGGGAACTCAGTTCCCTCAGGGAGTTGATACCCTGCCGACCAGAAGAATCCCCCTTTAGTACTATTTTAAGACCTTCATTGATCCTAAAATTTTTCCATTATTTGACGTGCCTTGAAGGGGTTTTCGGTGCCAAAAATTACTCATTTGGGGGGAGGGGTGGGGGGGGGGGGGGGGAGGGTTTGCGCGCTTTAATTTTTTGGCCAAAGTTTGTTAAAAAGTCTCTAACAACACGTTTTTTGGCCTGTTTTTCAAAACTTTGGCTGCGACACTGAATTTTGGCCAAAACAGAGGCTTTATAGGCTTTATAGAGGCTTTATATTTGAGAAAACTCAGAGAATCAGTTTAGTTGACCTATAAACAGTTTTCGATTTTATTTTTGAAAATAAGCCCCCCTCGATCAATTGCTAGATTTTCAAACACATTTGACTTTTATAAATAAACTTGCAAAATAACTGTTTATTACACCATGAATATTATTCATAACTAGTATAACTAGCAAAGCCGCTTGTGGTGGTTGGAGATATGGAAAGTATTAGAACCTATTGCAATTAAAAATTGTTTATTAAAGAGATCGGCTCTTTGACAACTGAACCAGAAGTGAGCAGTCACTGAATGAAGTTGAAAGGAAACAGGCTGCTTCCTCTACTCAGTCAAAACGACTGTTCTAAGAAAACTGATTATTTTTCCTACTTCTGTTATGCAACTTCTGTTTTATTGTACCCAGTTAAAATTAAATGTTAAACATTGGTTATCTCTAATCTAAAAAAAATTGAAGCGTTTTTGTGCGAAAAGTTTGAAGCAAATAATTGAAAAAGTATTTGAATTTCTTTAGATGTTAAAATTGGTTATCTCTAGTCTAAAAAATTGAAGCATTTTTATGAGAAACGTTTGAAGCAAATACTTTACTAACAAGTAGTTGACATTTTTAATAAACTGCTTCCAATTGAACGTTGAGAACTTTTCAGAAGTTTTGAACGTGAAGTTAATATTTTTTACGCGCAATTGACCTCGGTTTCTTCGGGTCAATCTTTGTTGGATCTTTTTTTATTCAACCTTCTCGGGTTAATTTTCGCTTACCGATCGATATAAGTGAAATTCAATTGAAAATAAGTACCATATATAAGCATTTGGGCGGACGCTTTTCCGGGTCATTAACCATCTTTTCGTTTTTTTTCTTTGCGCAGCTATAAATCCCCTTGCCGATGCCGACATTTAACTCAAGCTCATCTTTGATCGGTTTCAATACCTTCCTTAAAACCATAAAATCCTTTCTCGAGATCGTTTTTGCTTTAATAAAAAGTAAAGATTAGTAAATGTTAGTCCCACCTTAATCTGAATTGCAATTGTGTTACGAGAGATTAATATGAGTTCAGTTTAATTACGGTATTATTAAAGTTGAAGAATATTTAAGGGGGATTTCTTTTTTTCTAATCACCATCCTTCAAAGAATTTTTGCGAGTGGACAATAGTTTCTGGTCGAAAACTTCTGGTTTGAAATAAGACAAATTTAAATAAAAACAAATTTTCGGTGCTAATTTTTTCTTTTTTTCAGAGAAATTTTCGAAAATTTCGAAAAAAAAATGTTTTCGAAAATAAATGTTTTTAGATATAAAAAAGGAAAACTACTTTACAAAGCAAATATTTGCATAAAAACTATTTGTGTCATTTGGAAAAACTGAATTTTTCTGCTGCTCTTTCCAATCAAGAAATTGTACGTCATATTTCAAGAAGTTCTTGTTACTCCCTCTTTGAAACCCACCATTAATCATCGCTAATTCTGTAATATGCCAGTGGGAGCTAATCTGCGTCACCGTTTCATGTATAATTGATTGAATTTTACATCGTTATGTCTGCGCTATCTCAGGTTTTTCTCACTAATGGTTCAACGGAAAGCCGTTGCCAAAATGTTACGATTAGCTTGCAAAATTTTCAATATCGTATTTTTTGCTACTACTAAGAAATACAATCAAAAATAAAATGTTACTGAAAAGATGAAAAGCCTATTTTGTAGTTTGGGGACTTGCTAGGTTTTTTGTTTTTTTTTAAAATATTTTTAACACTCAAAAATACGCTATTGTAGATCACTGTCGCTGTTCTTTTAGCGATTTTTCTACAGTTTTGATTTTCTTTGGGTTATCAATCATAAGGGGCACTTAGCATAGTGGTAAGGCGTTCACTTTAGAATCGTCAGATCGTGTAATCGATCCCATGCCATGGCAATGATAGTGTGTGAGGACGAGCTCTCACTTGACCTCTAGCTTCAGGTCTACCACAACCTGACCATATTTGGCTGCAAAAGTGGTACCACTTGAAAGTTCTAGACGCACAAAAACGGCCTTGAGTCGCAAAAAAAGAGCTTCGCTCAACAAAATAACACAGTCTGGAATGTGGGGAAATAATACAAACGGACTATCCTCGACAGGACTGTTAAGGCCTACTGATAGCTCCTCTGTGATTCGCAGGAACTACAATTAGCTGTAAAAAAAATAGTAATAATTTCACTCTTGGTAGTTTTTTTTTACTTTTTTTGTACGTCCATACTTACTGAAAGTTATACGCAGATAATTAAGTTGATATAATCAATTTTATTTTATTGATGTTGCAGATGTTAACTGAAAAAAGTAGCGTGAAGAAAAAAATTTCCTTGTGTTGACAAAATCACTTTTTGCTTCGAGATAAAGAAACCTTTCTAGTTTTTTGAAAGCCACGGAAATGGCACGAATTTCTCAAAATGATACTTAGATATTTTGATAATGTCATGATATCTAGAGAATGGGAAATTTCATCAAAATCTAGTCTTATCGAAAGTTGAAAGTCTTAAATGTATACTGCGCTGCGAAAACGGGAAAATACATCAAAAATGTACTGAAAAAGATTGATAAAATTTCCTTCAAGGAGCATGCCGCTGATTTAACTTAGTCAAGTGCTTTGCGAATATTTAATAGAAATCATTCTTTTTACCTCGACATGAAAACATTTCAAAAAACTGTCCTTAAGTTTGAAAAAGGGTGATAAGTTTTTAAAAGCGACAGTCAAAACTTTTTTAAATCTCCCTAAGGAGCCCTCAATAAAACTGATTTACTTTTACTTTTTTTAAGGTCTACGCGCTGTCCGTAACAAAACGAATCTTCAAAATAGATGGTTTTTCAATTTTTGAAAAACACGAAATTTTTTTTCCTAGTTCTTGGTTTTTGAAAAAAAAAAATTTTGCTGTGAAATTTTTCATTTTCCTGGAGTTCTGTGAGGTTTGTTCAATTATTTATTTTCACATTTTGGTAGTTAAATTTTCACTCGGCCTGCGAAGTTCATTCCACAAACAAAACCATTCCAATTTGGATAACAGAAAGCTAATAATTTTTAGTTTTAGGAGCTCCATTTTTTAGTTTTAGAAGCGTTTTACATCATAAAGAAAGTCAAACCAAGTGAATTTTTTGAGGGGAAAGACGGAATCTGATTTGTCAAATAAATATTTGAAGGAGCATAATTTTTGGGCTGAGATTTTTGATGAATTACTTTAGATTTCATGCTAATCTACTCATGATCTTGCTTCACTAATACGAAAACCATGCTCAAGATGTTGAGTTTTAAAATCATAAAATTTTGGTTATTCTTTTTCGCTCGGTAGTTTGGTCACCAAACTGTATTAAAATCGAGAGGAAGCACAATCATTAACTGATTACAAGTTCGTGTGAAACAAAATCAAAACCCTATGAATGATTTTTTCTCAACAGCTTGAGCCTAAGTGGAAAAATCATCTAAGCAAATTTTTTATGAAAATTGCAATAGCCTCTTTGTTGTACCTAACACAACGGCATCGCCTGATATATTTCAAAGTAGAGTCTCGCGTATTTTTTTTTCATTCATGTTATGACGTTTTGTCATAAACAGCCTGGGGCTGTAAAAATTAATTGCACGCAAAAATCAATTACGACAGTATGAAATTAGGTAAATGCCATTGCAGCTTCCGGCAATCAATTATTCCATTTTTGGCGAAAATTTTTAAATTTTTTTTATGATGTTCAACGAGTGTCTTCTGGAGGACTGGTTTTTTAGAAGACAATTTTTAAGAAGTAAGAAAGAAATAAATGTCTTTCAACATACTTTGATTGGCAACTTAGTTGTTTGGCCAATTAACTGATTGACCGAAGTAAATAGGCACAAAGTCTAGCGTCGAGCTTCATTTATTATAACAGCCATCCAGTTAAGCGAAAAGCACTGATTTACGCACACATTTTTTTCTCGGGCCAAATTGAGCGCAACGGAGAGCATCAGAGCAAGTGTTCGCTTCTTGCCAATCAAAAACTTAATTGATTGCATTTCTTTGTAACGTCATTGAAACCTATGAACTTTGACAGCCTCAGCAAAGTATGATAAAAAGTTGTTCAATTATTTCAAAAATTAAACGTTTCAATAAAAAATTTAAGGTTCGTTTTCCAGAAGTATTTTTATTTTCAAAAAATTGTGCTAGTTTTAATATAAATTCAGAAGTATTGATAAAGATTCGGACTTTTTAAAACGAATTTTAAGACACGGTTACATTATCAAAGATTTTTTTTGGTTTAGTACAGAAGGATCTTTTCGCCTTTTCGATTTAAATTCAATAGACAAAACATTTTTCAACCTGCGTATTTCGCAACAAGGACGCTCTTTTTGATGATGTTTTGTTCTTTTGTTTTATTTGATCGTTCTGACATTCTTTGATTGTTCTGACAGGTCTTAAGACTTGTCCATCCCGCACCAAGTGCCCATGGATCATAGTCGACTATATTGTCATAATATGGTGAGCATCTATAAAAAGCTAAAATGATCGATTATAACCCATTTAAAATGGATTATAACCCTAAAATTTGTATGTCAATATACTCCATTATAATCGATTATAGTCCATT